GATAGATTAGGATAGATTAGGATAGATTAGGATAGATTAGGATAGATAGATAGGATAGATAGGATAGATAGGATAGATAGGATAGATAGGATAGATTAGGATAGATAGATAGGATAGATAGGATAGATAGCTAGATAAGATTGGAGCCTCGAGACTAGAGACTAGACTAGATTGGAATATGATAAGTATGTTTTGGGAATGTGCCTTTAAACCTTCATCATGCATTCACCCGCACCTTCACCGTGCATCCCCCAACGATTTCCCAGGCCTAGCCTCGGCCGAGGACACGCTACGTGGCGAACTGGGGCTCCGCGCGGTGCACCAATCGGCTGGAGTTCAACTACTCACAGAGTCTGATGGATCTTTGGCGCCCCCAAAACAGTAGATTTCTTGATTTAATGCACCTTTACCCTTCACCTGGACTCCCTGGACCTAGACCGGCTTGACATTGGATGGAAAAAGCTCTTCATATATGATTTCAGCATGGGGGAGGTAGAAAGATCATCAAGAGTCCACAGTGGTTTCAGAGTAATCAGATGGCACAAACCCGAAGATGTCCTTTGGATGGGGGTCCATTGCCATATAAACCACCTTTGGGGGATTGTGCCATCTACTCCCGAAACCACTTTCTCGCACCACACGCGAGTGATGGCCGCTCGATGAGATGGGGGTGTTGATGGTTCTTGTAGATGACAGGGAATGTGGAATTGGACCTCCAAGAAACTTTCGAGGGTATAGGTGGCATTTTGATGTTCCAAAGGAATTCTTATGAGAACCAGCGGAGTTTTTGCAGTCGTGGCTTGTTTCGAGGGGAAGTTGACCTGTGCTTGGTGCCGTTGTTTCTTCAGTTTAGTATGCCGAAGTGCTGCTGCTTTGCACAAGGGCGGTGCGATCGGTGTGAACGCCTTCTGCCAGGGTGGTGCTTTGCACATGGACACCGGTCCTTTTTAAGGTCTGCGCATGAGGTGGGGGGCAATTTCACTGCTTGCCCGTAAGATTTGCCCATGCAAACATGCCCGTCTTTTGGGAGAGTCCTGGGTGTTTCTCACGGATTTCCAGTGGCCCTCCCTGAAAGAGATACAGCTTTTGAGCCATGCGCACTCCCTGTGCGGGCTGCGCCTTTCTCCAAGATGTGTTTTCATTTCATGGGGAGCCAAACAAGCTAAGGACCGCCACTACCCAGAGAGGGCCCAAGGCCCTTGCCAGCTACCCACGCTGTGCAAAGTGGAAGGCAACCTTCAAAGAGAGATGGACTCCAAGTATGGCTTTTATTTGCAGACTCAGATGAGCTTGATTAGATTTTGCTGTGGTTGCTAGTGGTCACGGTCACACTGCTCCGCCAACATGATACTTATGCAGTTAGGAGGCCCCGTGAAGTCAGCTTGTGCCTTCAGCAGAGAGGTGGAGCATTGCGCCACCGTCCATCAAACTAGAGGGGGAGAATCCAACCTGCTATAGCAGCTATCGGTAGAACCTGCTATTTTGTTCACCGCTCGCTTTCAGAACCAACCCCCGTTCCCTATAGAAGTCTGAGACGTTGCGGTGGATGTCTCTCGGTGTTGGACCCCTCCGGGCAGTCTGAGCACGCCGGCCCAGGGCAGTCGAGCACCGTGCCCACCATTCTTGGTCGTTTTCCGGTCCTTTTTGGACTTGAGGCACGTCTACGCGGATCCGGCAGCGGTGATCTTCCAGGTGCGCCAGCTGCGCAAGTTCTTCCCCAGGTCGCCTATCCACGCCGCACGGCTGAAGCGGCTGCAGGTTGTGGTGTCCGTGCTGCGGGATGGAGTTGGGTGGCATGCGATGGGGTAGCAGGTGTGACTGGTAGGGGTGGGGTTGCTGGCCAGCTGCCAGCTCAGCTTGTGGTTTGTGCTCGCAGGCTCATTTGTCATGTCGACCGGCGCTCCGGCGCTACGGCGCTTGGCGGAAAGTACACTCCCCGAACTCACCCTGGTTACGTGGATGGCGCCCCCTGATGGCGACCCTCGTCCTACCAAAGGGATGGCGTTTCACTCCACTTCCATGACTACTTGAAGGAGTGTTTAGTGACATTCTTCCCTGGAGACCCTTGACTTGACTGTCCTGCATCCACATGCTGCATGCATCCCTTCCTTTGTTTCACATGCCGTGGACTGAGGTGATGAGCGACTTGACGCAAAAGAAGCAGCTGACAAAAAGTGGGGGGGTCGTGACCCGAAGGACTACCACATTTGGAGCCTGGAAAACAATGTTTAAAACCTTTTGTCAGGGGTAACGAGCCCAGTTGCTTTGCTTTTGTTCTCTTTCTTGGGGTTCAATGTCAATGCAGAGTTGCAGCACATGACGTACGCACTTGGCCCAAATTCTTCTTCCACGGAGTTTCTCCACTTTCTGGCCTTGATTTCCGCTGTGCCGTGGCCGCCCGAAGTGCCACTGCACACAGCCAAGTGGATCTCATCTCGAACGCTTTAGCCAACCCTGTTGGAACGTGGAAACCGATGTCCACCCAGACGGTTGGCCTGTCGCAGGTCCTCTCACTTGCACACATGGATCAAGGAGCGTGGACACGTAATATATCATAGACATATTTGTGTATATATATATATAGAGAGAGAGAAAATAGATGCAATGTAAGTAATTGTTTACCTACTTGATTGGGAACCACCAGAAGAACCGATTAGGAGGCCAAGCCACTGCCGAATTCATGGAGGACTAAGTTCCAAGCAGTGGGACGGAGCCCCACATCATCTGTGAGACTGCGGAAGAAAGAGGGCCGGGCCGTGCTCCAAGCGAGGTGATGGCGGGATGGACTTCAGCCCTCTCTGCAAGCAGCAGGGCTGTACCTTCGAGCTTTGCCCACCCGCCAATGCACCTGGGTCAGCAGTACTGCCGATTCCGCTCCGCCAAAATGATCTCAAACAGTTGGGGTACCGCAGTGGATCTAAGAATCGGGATAGATGATGCAACAAACTGGCACCAGCACCTTCATGTCGGGGTCACCTGGTTTTCAAGCCCCTAACACTACCATCCGGGATCTCCAGCCAGGACACCCCTTTGAAGGTCCAGGTGCAAGAGTTTGATTTTACTCTTCCTTTTTCGCTGGTTTCATGGCCAACCACAAAGGCCGAAGCACCCCGAAGCACCCCGAAGCACCCCGCCGGTCGACCGGTGGCGGAGACGCGAGCCATGTGAGGCGGTTGCGTGACCTGCATGGTGTGCTTCGGTGTTTTGAGGGGAGCGGTCTATGGTGCCTATGTGGGGCCTACAGCTGACAATTGTGCAGGAAAAGAAATGAACACCATTGACTCATTGACGGCTCGTATGGACTCATACCAGAGCCAAATCGTCAGTTGCATGCCCGCCCGCTCAAGAAAACACATATTGCATGATGTACTGTACATCTTCCAGAAGATTTAGATATTTGCCTCAGTCATCCAAACCGTAAACATCGTTGGGGTTCGAGCTTCTCGCACCCGTAGACCTTTAGAATCCTTTCGAACACCTTGGGACCGGCATTGGGACCGGCCGACCGGCCACCCGACCGGCCCCTGAGGACCGTTGGCACCCTTGGCCGTTTCTGAAGCGTTTGCTCCTGGCCACCCTGAGCCTCAAGACGGACTTTGTGACTCGGACCGCGGCGTTTCACGCGCCTGGGTTGAGGTGTCTCAAGGGGTGAAACACCAGGAAAACCCTGTTGGAGTCAGCACATCCCATTGGAGGGAGTGAGTGAGTGAGTGAGTGAGTAAGTGAGTGGTTTGTGCCCCCAGGTTTCGACCATTGTGGGCGTGGGGGATGGCAGAGAAACGGGACGACCCCCTTCGATCGCAACAATAGAAAAATCTCTTGGACCCTTTGGGCAGCCCTGCCCGACCCCCTGGGCCGTGCCGCTTGGACTCAAAGCTCGCTGCTTGGACCCGTTTGGACCCTTTCAGATCCTTTGGGACCAAGCCCGAGCAGCGCGGTGTTGTGGGTGGAATCGAACGAGCGCCGTCGGGTGTGGGCGCGGGAGTGGTGCTGAGATGTATTTGGTCGACCGGTTCAGTGGGGGCTTCTGAAAGCGACCTGGCTTCAGATTGGTAATCAGTAATCACCAGAGGTTTCAGAGTAGATGGCGCAAACCCAAAGATGTCCTTTCTTATGTGGGGTCCATTTTAACCACCTTTGGGGGGATGGTGCCATCTACTCTGAAACCACTGTAGTGCTTGGGGCTCATAGGATGGCGGATTTTTTTGGTTCAAGATCGAATCTTGCTTAATGGCTGGAACAAAGTGTCCTCGCTGCGCGAAACTGGGTGTGGTAGGCGTCCCCTTGGTCATCTTCATCATGATGGAGCCTGTGCTCCCTATAAACTTAAGTTCCTTCGCAGTGAGCGGAGCGAGTTGGCATCCAGCTTCACCAACTCCCACCAGAAATGCCACAATGATTGCAAACAGAACAACTGCCACGATCGCAGAACCGGGGGCAAAAGCTGCAAGTCGTGCTGAAGAAGGAATGACCACGACCACTGCAACGAGCGCAGAGGGAGCAGAAGCGCAACCCACGACATCCTCGATTCTTGCAGCGGAGTCCAGTGCTTCCACTGAAGACAGAGCAGCCGCGTTTGCAATGATGTCAGAAAGAGGAGCACGTGCGGGCGCAGCTGGCTCGAGAATGATCGAAGCGGGGCCAATCCACACTGCAATGGTTGCTGAAGAGGGGGCAAACGCCTGCACCATCTTGGCTGAAGACGATAAGAAGGCCCTCGAAGCCAAGAAGACGTTGGGAGAATCTGTATGGAGACATGCCACTAGGGAAGAGTTGAACGCAATGATGGAACCATCACAGTTGGATAGCACGGTGAATGACACCTGTTCATTCCCGATCAAAAGTGGCCGTGCAGGCAATCCCTATCACCCCGCCAGTTGTGGCAGGGCCGATCGAGTCCACTTGTTTCACAGATCGACTTGGGTCATGGATCGGGATGCAGCCCATGGACACCGGTTTCTGTTCCAGCTCTTGAATGCAGTGGCCCAGCGCCCCCCTTGCACCTTGACCTTTGTGGGAGACTCCTTGGCGAACCAACTGATCTTCGCGGCCGCGGCTGGGGCACTGCACATGGGATGGAAAATGAAGTCCTTTTGCTGGGATGGACCGGGGAATGACTGGAAAATGGAGAAGGAGCCAAGTCTCACACACCCTTGTGACAACCGACTTTTCGACATGAAGTTTCAGGCTGGCCCAGATGGAAACTTGACTTTGCATCGGGACTGTGAAAATCTCACGATTGGTGCCTTTATGAGGATTGCATGGCTTGAGGAAGGAAAAGACAGCGGCAACTGTAAACGATGCACTCTTGCACTCCACATGGGTGCTGGTGAATTGGGGTGTTCATGAAAACAATAGAAGCCACCCTGAGATCAAGATGGAACAACACCTGAATGAGTTCATGCTTCCTTGGTTTCAAGTTGCCAATGACACAGGACAGCTTCACAAACTTGCCTGGCGCAGCACTTTTCCACAGCACTTCCCGAACCCTGATGGTTCCGGACTTTGGAAGTCCAAGAAGGTGCTCAAGAAGCATCACTCGTGTGTAGCCATCCAAGATCTGAAGGCCGCAAAGTGGCGCGACACCTTTACCTTTCAATGGCTGAAGAGGGCCGCTCCAGACTTCATGAAGCAACCTCGGGTGGTGGATGCCTTCGAGTACTTTGCCCACAGGCCAGACTTACATTGCTTTCCAGATTGCACTCACTATATCCACTCGCCCTTTGCATGGCAATATGTTTGGAAAGCAACGCTCGAAGCGTTCTTGTGCAGCTCTCCTTGGCCTTAAACTCGGGCAGTCGGTGTGCAACCCACGCAACGCCACCAAGGATCTCATCGCTGCTGAGGAGCATCGATCTCCACACCTTGTAGAGAGTCTGGTCTTCCAGAAGCGTTCCAAGCTAGTTTCTTGGACAGGCCCCCCTTTTCGCCACCTTTGGCAGACGACCAACTCCAAGCGTGGCTTTCTCAACATCCTTCACTTCGAGTTTGCGACATCCTGCACCGAAGCAGTGGATCTGCTTCGCAGGGACGACGACGTCGTGTCACCGCGGGACGTCGTGTCACCGAGTCTTCCGAAGGTGGGCGTCAGAAAAGGCCCGAGTGCCGAGTGCAGGGAAAAGCAGCTCCCATGGCCATCGACGCTACGTCTGGATGAGGTCATCATGCTGGAGCCTGACAACACGATCCACGGCCCCATCAAACGCGAGCCGAAGCACGATGCAGGAGGCCTGGATCGGATTTTTTTAATTCTCTATATTCATTTCTATTCTATAATTGTTATATTGCTTTCTCTTTAGCCAAGAATTCCAAGGGCCCTACGGGAATAGGCTATAATTTATAATCCTCAAAGTATACTGTGGATGAAAAGGAACCTCATCTCTAGTGACCGCCTGGGACTGCAAAGAGCTACCATGCCTTACCTCGTCCAATGACGAGTCGTCATGGCCCTGCCGGTCGTCTCTTCGCTCGCATCTTCGAAGATCGGTCCAGGGATCTTCGTGGAAGATCGGGCCTTTGGCCTCGTCGAGTACGTGGAGAAGCTGGCGCAGGAACGGGTGCCAGGCACCCAGGGCCGGATCGGCGGATCGGCGCGGGGGCGCTGGGGCGCTGGGGCCGGATCGGGCCTCCTTTTCTGCTAAGAGGGTTGGGGAGAACGGAAGATTGGGCAGGTTTGGTGAAGCACTGAAGCACTCGTGATGGGTAAAACATGGTAAAAACGGGCTTGTTGATTCGAAATTGAACCTACTGTAATTCTAATTATATACTAGACTTGGAAGATGCCAACTCTTGCTTACTTTTTGGAGCACTAACCCAAGCCAGGATAGAGTCATAGATCCACCATCGAACTGACACCTACCACCTCTCAATCAACATTAGCAGAACACCTCTTTGATTCTTGAGCCATCTTGGACCTACGCTCTGCTCCATATGGGTCATAGGTGAAGCCCCCACAGGGCCTTTGCATTTCCACCACGCCTGACACTCGCTGACTGGCCGGCCTAGTAGCATGTGGCTGTGGGTCAAGACCAGGTCACCCTGGGTTGACCACCAAGCATGAAGAGAACACCACCACCGGGAAGATCCATCTACGGCTTGGGGCTCCAGGTTTGGTCACAGCATGATGGCCGGCCGTGCGCGAGGCTTCAAGTGGACGCGCACGGCCATGTCTGCTGGCTTGGCCGGGGGCGCCTACTTTCGCCGGGAGGCCATCTTGGACGCCTTCTCGGACCCGCTGGGGATGCCATAGGGGAGGGGTGGCGTGTCCCTGAAGTTTCTGAAGCGGCTCATCACAAATGGCCGGGAACGGATAACCCCTGGCTCAAGAGACGAGCACATGCGGAGGACCATTCTGTAGACCGTGCGAGTCGCACTAACATGGGGAGGAGGTCACTGAAATCCTGAAAGGGTTGGGGCCGCGCTCCCTCCAAGAGCGTTTGAAGCCATTCTTCACACTCAGCCTTCCTGGATGCCCCGAGCCCTTCACGCTTGGTAGGACGAGAACATGATGAAGCTCGATTGGAACATGCTCGGCTGCTGGGCCTGGATTCGGGGAAGCCGTATCTATATGACTGGAGAGATGCTTCCAGAACACAGACCAAGGACCAAGATCGCTTTGGGATCCCATGGTGAGCCAACGGGATTTTCTATATGCTTCTGGTGTGGTCCTCTTTCAAACCCCCTATTTTTCCGGGACGTTTGGAGACCGATGGTGCCCATGGATCCTGTACAAGATCAGTCGCTCAACATGAATCCATGGTTCCTTATGATCCTTCCTAGCTCGATCGAGTTAGGAAGGGACAGAACCTTTCCGTTTGGCTTCGGCTCATGCTTCAGCAGACCACAAAGGCCGCCACGTTGGACGGATGAACCAAACTCCACGACCGACACTCCACGATCGCCCACCACGTCGAGTGGTCGCAGGCGAGAAGGCGACCAAGGACGGGGTCCGGACTGAAGCGTTTCGGCCTGCAGGTTCGGTCGGATGGGGCGTTTTGGGCCATCCGGGTGCCCAATGACCTTTTCAGAAGCATACCTGGGACCTTCCTGAACTTGGGGTGTCCTGGCTGGAGATCCCGGATGGCTAGGTAGTGGCTTGGGGCGAGCTCGCTTCCAGCGGGTGACCCCTCTTCGTTCCAGAAGGTGCTGGCTGCAGGTCCCATCCACCTCGGGGCGGCACGCTTCGTCCCATCGGTCTCCTCCGAGAAACGGAGGGGCCATGGGGGCCATGGAAACGGGTCCTAAGACGTAAGACGTTTGGTGGAGGGTTTGGATGAAGAAGTGGCTGGACATTGGCTTGGTGACTTCGGCAATTCTTGACCTTTCGTGGTCCCCTTTCTTCATCAACCCGACTTTTGAGGAAATGAAGAAGGTCTATTTACTGTAGATCCCAAAAACTCCAGCTGGGAGATCGAGAAGAATTTGAGTGAGCCTCACTTGATAGGCCTTCAGATTCGAAGAGGTTCATGTTTTCGCGATGTGTTTAACGGGATTCACGGAAATCGATCGATGAGGGACCAACATCGTATGCTTATCGAAACAAGACACAGAGTCATCAAACAATGCAAGGAAGTAATTCTTTTCTTGGCAGAATTGCACTGTACATGCCATCGATTGGGACCAGAAGGTTAAACAAGGGAGCTACCTGCACCACAGAAAGGATGGTTTATATGGTTTATAGATGCCCCTGCCGATGTACTTTCCTTCCAATAACCACCCTTTGGGTGGTGCTGATCCCTTCGACCTTGTTTTGGGATGTCCCTTCAGCATCAGAGCTCGTTCCACTGGGGAGGAGATCTACTCATCGGACTTCGCGATGCAGTACGCCTTGGCGGCGCGGGGCTGGCGGATTGCCCCCTGGGAAGAGACGGCGCAGATGGACAAGGATAAGGTGTGGTGTGGGCCATGGGGATGTTGGGTAAAGAAGCGTTTCTTTCTTTCACTTTGCTTTTGGGAGGGGGGTTCTCAAATTACAGAAGCGCTCACGCTTTTGGGCCACATGGATGGGTCATTCGCGATGAGAAGTAGACCATAGCGCAGAAAGTGTGGCCGATTGAACTGGGAGTAGCCACGCGCACCCCAATATCTGGGCGTGACTTGCGGGCGGAGCGCATTTCGTCACCTGTTCGGGCGGGCAATCGGAACATAGGCCTTGAAGCGCATTTGAGTAAAAGTGCTGCCAAAGTGCAATGTTTTTGGCCAATCTCATGGTGTTCACCTTCCATGTCATGCGTTTATACTGGGCCTTCCTCGTCGTAAGCCAGTATATACCAGCGTGACACTGGGGTTCCATGCCAGCGTGGGACGGGATCTGCACTCGTTTCTTCTGCACCGGTCCGGACGAGGATGTGCCGCTGACGGGCCCGAAGGACGCAGCGTTCCGGCACTACTGCTCCTGCTATCCGGGAGGAAAGCCCACCTACAACATCCGTCTGAAGAAAGAGGACCGAGAACATGGGGTGTGGGCATGGGGAGACCTGGTGCTCCGTAGACCGATCTCACGGGTCTCGCTGTTTTCATGCACACCCCCTTTGTGGCTATTCCTGTAGGTCCGGTCGAGAACGACGGAGAGTGGCTGCGCTTCAGCCGAACGAGCGTAGCCGTAAGCCAGAACCCCCCCAAAACGAGATAGACCGAGGCGGCCGAGGTGGTTCTTGGAACGGCCCAGGTGGAACGGCCACGTTCCTTCCCATCAGTGGTCAGCCTCTCTGTTGCGTCTCTGCCGGTCTCAGCAGTGGACAGGATGCGAAGTTGGCCCTGGACCAGCCAGCGGAGTTTTCCAAAGTGAACTCCGTGTGCCAGCTCTGCTACAACTTGTCACGCTATGTGGCACTCTGGGGATCGGCGCGGTGTACCAACGACACTTGGAGATTGAACTTAGACAAGACGGTAAAGATGTAACCACTGATATTGTATGCTTATGGCCCAATGGCATATGCATATGTATTGCCCATGGTATATGCTTGTTGCCTCTCATTGGTGTGCGTGGCGGTGTCAGCACATCAGGAGATCCCCTTCTCCTACTCGAAGCGTCTCTTGCAGAGGCTCGCTGCGGTCGGGTCGGGCCGGTCGGCTCGCTGCGAGTCCCTTGGACCAGCTCCATCCGTGATCGGTTTTCACTCAGATTGAGCAACAGGAAGTGGGACATATCTTGCATCTGTCCGAGCTCATATACCGGCAAACAATAAAAATACATATCTATCAATCTATCTATCAATTTTTTTGAAGAAAGGCCTGCAACTGAATCATCATCCACTGGGCCCTGGTACTAGGATAGGCCCAAAGACATATCCAACTCACCTGCCAATATGGGACCGGCGCGGGACCTCCCAAAGAGGAGCTCCTTTGGACCCTCCGAGAGTCCATCACCAGCCGTCGGTTCCGCGCGGGGTTCCGCGCGGGTTTGGCGTTCGCCTGTGGTGGGGGGGACCGGGTTTGGATGTCCGTGATCTGCTGATGGATGTGGTCAACATGGGGGATTGAAAGTAGACTTAAGCGTAACTATAGACCTTAGAGTAAGCCCCTGTTATATCCAGTGGTTTTCAAGCGATTTGGGAGTGATTTCACGTTCTTGGGCCTGGTCATGCCGAGATACACGACTGGTTGCAGGTACCATCCAGAAGTCCTTCAAGGTGCCTGTGAGCTGCCCTGGCTCTGTACGCCAACAAAGCCTGACTAGCGGATGCTACGTGAACATCACGTGAAAAACATTAGACCTCCATCACGGTGCCATAGGCATTCATAGATCCATCAGCTCGAGCTCGAACTGCTGTGGTAAATCCCTTCCTTCAATTGCAAGCACCTCAAACTCAAAAGCATGCTTCAGTGACTTCAGTTTCAGCTTCTGGTGAGTCTTCTTCCTCGGTGGTGGGAAGGGATTCTCCCGCTGCAGCTGTCGAGCCCGTGAGTGGCGCAAAGTTCGTGCCGCCATGAGTTGGGTGGTGGGGGGGGGCAGATGGCGAGGCCTCTCGGCGGTGACGAGATTGACAGGACGGTGGGACCGACCTTTTTCTCTTTCGCGCCATATTCAAGAGCCCTGGTGGCTCGCTTGGGTGACACTAGCCTTTTGAAGCCTTTTTCCGCTCTCTGCAGTGAGACTCGGTCGCCAGGAGAAGACTTAGGTCACTCGTGGCTGAGCCCAGAGCTTTGGGTGAAGAATATTAATGAAGCTCTCTCCCCTTACTTGGGAAGACAAAAGCCAAGCCAGAGGGCACCAGCCACCGTTCTATGTGGGGCAACGGAACCATCGCAGTCCCACTGATCTTCCTGGCACATGTGTGGCACATGGGGGTCTTCCTGTTCTTTTGGGGTCCTCCATGTTTCAGCCACCCGACCTCTGATCATTTGCACCTCCTCTGCCACTCTGCCACGCCTCCGCAGACGGCGGAGGACGGTGCGACTCCGACGGATTTCCTGGGCGCGGCCGCCGAGCAGCTGGCGACGGTCATGGAGAGCTTCGAGTCGATGATGGCCCAGGCGCCGCTTAGGGGAGACCCTGAAGATAGGGGAGACCCTGAAGATGCGCCGTGGGGGGGCGCTGTTGACCCCTGAAAGCAGCATGCGACTAGCGATCCGAGTGCGAGGATCAGCGATGGCCACGAGCCGAGAGACGGGGGATGTGTATTTTTCATAGGGGGACGGGGCCCACTGATCAAGCAAAAGGATTGTATAGATGATTAGACTGCGCAGGACCTGCACATCACGTCTTAAATGGCACAAGGGCACTGGGGAGGTCACTGGCTACAATGCTACAAGGTCTTTTTTTGGAGTGTTAAGCCTTGGACGCGGCCCAATAATGCTAATGCTGCTGGTAACTGTCCAAGACCAGGACAGTTGGGGTGGTGCATGGACAGCATCCACCCCCACTTTTTGTTTTTCTTCGGGAGGCCCTGGTGGGATGCATAGGTGCACCAGATAGCCACCAGAATGTGGAACAGCTACAAAAGCACTCTGATGTCTTGTGTCATCATTTTTCATTATTTCCTCACCTTAGTTTGTTTCACTAAACCACTGCATTCTGTATCCACATCTTCAATTTTTTAGCCTCTGGTCTTCACTAAGAGTGACGCGAGTAAGAGCATTACGATTATAACAACTATATATATATATATATGTATAACATCACAAAGAACAATATTAACAACAAACTGAACATGTGTATTTACACAAATAACTTATGGTAGAACATACATGTAGTTCACTTGCATCTAAATGACACATATGGCATATGGCTTTCTAAACTATCGCGCTGGTCACTCCCCTGTTCTGAAGGTTTTTGGGTTGGCCCAGGGTGAGAACATCAACGCAGATAATTTTTGCACATTGTGTCCTTTTCGCCCGGACGCCACGGTTGGAGCGGCGAGGGCATCGACTTGATTCGTGAAGAGGAGAAGCCGGCCCCCTCGAAGGCGCATTTCGGGGAAAGGCGGATTCGTTGTTTGGTCTCGTGTGAACAGGAATGCTTTGCTGAACGGGACTGTAGGGATATACAGTGGATGATGTAGGGAGTTAAGATGAGAAGACAAAAGCATGACGGTTGCACACACACACAACTCCTCTTTTCAGATGCGCCGTGGCCCCGGCCGAGCGAAGTTGCTCAGTCCGAGTTTGATTTTTTAAAGATTTTTTTGGTCAGGAAGAAAGAGGTCCAAGAAGGTTCTTGCAAGTGACGGGAGTGTTTTCTCAGGGTTCCAACTGCAAGTGGGAGTTGGTAGACGATACTCTTCAGGCTTCACCTTCAACTTTGGTTTAGCTTCATTCTTGGGGTTAGCTATAGTTTTTGGTGTGGTCTGTTTCCAGCTCGTCTTCCTGTGGCGCCTTCTTAAGGCCTCCGAGGCCTTTCCCTATCTTGGAGGGTCAATGATAGGCGTGGTTTTCCACTTACGCCGCTTTGCCGCTCAAAAAATCCCATAGGCTTTGAAGAGGCATCCCTCAATATCAACGAAATACTGACTAAGCAACACCTTTTGGCCTTTGTGACTTCCTCAGCCAATGTAGCCATGACATAGCGCGGCCTTGGCGAAAACAGAGCCGCCGCCGCCTCTTGAAACGGAGTGCGTGGTCGAGGTGAGAAATCCGACGTTTCGCTTTGAAGTCGTTGCCAGGCAGCCTGAGCGCCTTCAGACCGGTCGAGGAAACCTCGTCGTCAGGCGGCGGTCTGTCGCGCGGGACACGGGACTGGTACCTGTGTGCTCTCGATGGTGTGCAACAAGTCTCCATCCCCAAGAGATGGATCTTGCTGCTCAGGAGAGACATGTAAGAAGGGATGGGTTGAACATGGCCAGGGTGTCCCTGCAGCCTGCAAGATCCCCGTATTTAGGGCTGGATTCCCCAGTGGTGGAGAGGGAAAAAAGCATTTTGGCCCCCCCACATACCTGGGCATCATCTTTATTCCAGTTGCAACTGGGAACTCTGCGGTTCCCCCCTAACGGTGGTAGAAAAAAGAAACACACCTGGGTCCCTTTGCCAAAGGCATCCATGAGTGATAGGTGTAGTACTGTGCACCTCGGAGCACCCTGGACTCGTGGTGCACTTGGTTGCGCCTGACGCGGGGCCCGCGTCGAGCGGGGCGACACGGTTCGCTGGCCTCTCGTGCTGGAGCAGCGGCGCAGTCGATACCGAAAGGCCGCGCCTGGTAGGTGAGCTGTTCCAAGGGCAGGAAACCAGAATACTTTTTGTTTCTCGCTCTACCCATGGAAGTGGTGTGGTTCCTGCTTGCAGATCGAAGTAGTCAAGGGTTTTTGGGGAGATGGATCCACACCCTGTGGCTGTTTTTTTTTGGGGACAATACAGGCCACCCCAGCCTGTTTTTGTTGTTTTGGGGAGGGCAAGCGCTGGTAGCTACCAGACGTGATGAGAATTTATTCTGTAGCTGTGCCTGCCTGCTTGAGCACGGGAAGCTTGTAAAAAGATATTGAAGCCCTTGGGTCAAAGACTTGTTAGACCAAGAATGCGCCTTGGGTTCATTTGTTCTGCCACACGCTACCATGAAAGATGAACGGCCATTTCATGCTAAGTTTTTCGGGATGTGGACTGATGTAGACCCAGGGGCATCCTTCCAGCGCTGGCGAGAGACCTGAGTCCAAGAGCAGCCACATGGAGCAGCCTTGGGGGGCATTTCCCCCAGTATCTCCTGGAGCTATAGACATAGGGTCCGTCCTATTACCTGTTTACTATCATCATCCACTATTACAGGTAATAGGATAATATAGACATTTCCGGCTTGGGTTTTGGCTTTCTGTATAACCATGCTCTGGCCCCTGGCGAGTGCTCCTTTCCTCAGTTTCTAGAGTTCCTCACTTTCTGGGGTTGGAGGGTGAACATCCCCCAGGGCCCCGCTCACTGGACCATGCGGGGAGCCCCCTTCTCCGATGGCAGTGTGGTTTGATGGCAGTGAGTCCGTGGCATTTCAGGTCGGCCAAGTCTCATTGAGACTGCCGTCTCTGCAGTAGGGTGGTCCCATCAGATGGAAAGGGTAAGACATGTTTGCTGGGGTGTCCTGGTTCGACCTGTTGGGGGGCTCACTATCGCTTTCTTCTCCTGTTGAGCGACTTCCCCCCAAAAACCCAGCACCCTCGCAGCTCACGCGCCGACCAACGGAGCCCACCTGGCCCGCCATTGTTCCCCCGAATTTCGGTTTTGTCCGAGGCTGGTGCTGTGCAAGGTCCCGTAGTAGCGCAGTAAAGCATGTTGGGGCATGTTGGGGCATCCTGACGAAGAAGCACTACATAGCCATAGGCCATAGGCGTAGCAGTTGAAGAAGATCTCATCGTACTTCCTTGATACCTGAACAGCTGTATTTCCAAGGGGGTCACTTGTAGGAGGAGGGGCTGCAACTGCGATTGCTAGGAATAATTTCCAGAACACCTCCTTGGAGGGTTAATGATAATCTAAAACACAACACCTCCTCGTGGAAGCTCTACCCCCACAAGTGGAAAAGGACATGCCATTTGTGTCCATGATCAACTGTGGCATTTGGTGCCGATCCGTACTAGCAACTCTCGCCAACGCGGATGCAGCGCACAGCGGAGCTTGCTCTTCAAAGACGGGGTGGATGCGCGTCTCAGTTTGTTGCAGAGCTTATGTTGCAATAGTTCGGATCATCTCTATATCATCTCATCTCCCAAGTGGTGTTTCTGTATGGCCCATGCCATGTTTTCCAGAGTTGAACCAAGAGTCCTTGACGTTTTTGTAGAGGGAGCTCCTGAAAAGGCTGCTGATTGCTTGTCTGAGCTGAACTGAAAAAGTCTGAGTCTGTCGGAGTTGGTGGCTGAAGGGGACGAATGTCCTCAACTGGCCGCTGCAAGACCAATTGAAATTTGTTGACCTGGCTTGTGGCCTCAAACCGTCAATAAGACAATGCTGGTCCGGTAGTTAAGAACCCTATGCCCTATGCAGTGGCTTCCCCCCACGAGGTCTTTTTGATGGGGGTCCAAACCACCCAACTCGGACATTTGTGCCATCTACTTCCCACTGGAAATCAATGGTGCAAAGGACTGCCAGGCAGGGTGTCCTTGAAAAGGCCGGGTGGAACACCCACGGCGGCAGCGCTTTTCGGCTCGCTTCGCTCGGTCGACACGTCGGTCGTCGCCATGTTGAGCCTTAAAGGAGTCGATGGACCCACGACATCACCTGGACCGAAGGGGTTCAGTTGGTTGGGTCGTTTGGACCCCGGTGAAAGCCCCAACGCGCGACCCACGACTTGGGCAGCCAAGAGTTGCTCAAAAAAGTCTGAAAGCCTTGCTTCTTGCCAACCGTTTTCTGCTCGAAATCGCCGCCTGGTGGGCCAAATGGTGGGTCGTAGATGGTCGTAGTGTAGCATCAAAACACAAACGTGTGTGCGCACGGCATTCCACAACAGCAGAATCCAGGCATCAGGTATCGAGAGGATCTGTTTATTTTTTCAAATTCCTTCCACTTCTCGATTTTCTCGCGCTTTCTGAGAGGTGAATAAGATCTAGGGAACTTGGGAGTGTCCATGTGGCTTCTATTCATATAGAATGAAAGGACGAACGATTGTGAGTTCCCTAAAAGGACTCCCTGAGTTTGAAGAACAAGTCACCTTAGGAACACATTTGTTCCTCCTTGCGGTCCCTTACACTGCCTTAGCCTGAAATATGCAGTTCTGGATCCTAAATAGGATCAGCAGCTCACAAGCTTTGAATCGCTGAAATCGCAGTAACCCCAGGGCATGGGTTCGCGGACCTCCGGCTCTCTGGTTTCACCAGTTGACCGGGTCAGCTGGTTCTTGGCTCCGATGGTTCCCCAACCTCTCGAGCTTCCAGACCCGTAGCAGTCGACTTTCTGGACCCCCCCCCCCCAAGCGGCTCGCAGCCACCGCCTCCCCCGCCCCCAAGCGCCGCCCGCTTCCGGCGCGCCCGAGGCTGGACGAATGCTCGACCTGCTGACCTTGCTTTCGGCCGCCGGTCTCCAACAGGCCCCGATTGATCGATCGATCGCACGGCTCCGATCGATCACCCGGGGCCGTCCACGGTGTCGGCGAAGGGAAACGCTCCGGCGCCGCAAAGAGGATGAGCTGATCAACATGCCCAAGGGCGTGGCCCTGGGAGGCTTAGAACATGCTGGGGTGTGGTAAGTTTTAGTGTGCCGACGTCACAGTCCAGGCAGCCCAGTGTCTCACTCAGGGTGGTGAGGAAGTGGAGACAAGTGTTCCGGAAAGACTCTCCAACATCTCCCAACCACTGAGCATTCGCTGGTCATCTTGAGAAGACTTCTGGGAATCCGACCTGCAGGCGTGGAGAGACAAGGGTAGTTCTTCAGCCGTTCTTCCAGTCCGTCGGGCCGCTCCCGACCACGCGATCCCGTCGGAGCGTGTCATTGGCGTCCAGGAGCTGGAAAAAGCCAAGGAGAAGACGGGAGAAGTCATCAAAGAGGACACGACGACCGGGGTCTGAGGCCAAGGGTTTTCCATCTGCACCCGCGGTTGAAAACACCTGGGCCGGGATTTGACCCGGCCGCCATTGGTTCTTCCAAGCAGCCTGCCATGTTACCTTCTCAGCATTCTGTTTGGGACCCATGTCATGATCGATGGTAGACTTGGTGGCCCAGGGGTTTGGACGGCGTGGTAGACTGAAGGAGGCATGTTTTTTTGTATGCATTGGAGGCTTCCGAAGGGTCCGACCCTTCAGCGCAGCCAGGAGACCGTGGAGTCGGATTTCTTGGGCTCCTGTGCTGAGCAGATGGCCGAGGCCATGGAAGGCTTCGAACGCCTGGTCGCACAGGCGCGGGCGAAGTGCAAGTGAGTTGCACAAGAAAAAGCCGAAGAAAAAGAAGACGTGTCTAGGGGTCCCCACAAACCCAGATCTCCGATGGTGCTTCAATTAAAAGCTCTAACTGCTCTAACTTTAATCCAAGATTCCCAGGATCCCCAATCATCCTACGCCTCACTTGAGAATTGGTAGACTCTATCTCTTTGGGCTGTTTAGGACTGGCTTTTTGACCCCCAGGTTCTGAGGTCCCGTTGGTTCTGGGCTCCTGCACCGGCCCAATGGCGCGCACCGTGTGCCACCCTGAGGGCTTCAGCGGAAGCTCGCAAGAAGAGATGGTGCCGCCCAAGAAGGCCAGGCGATTGCTGGGGGATAGGTGCGAAGGCGGGCAGGTGGTGGCTAGGTGGTAGCTGACTGGTGATCGTGAGAGAGCTGATCAAACTGGGGGTTTGGAGGTGTCCCGGCAAAAGACCATTGCCGGTTCAGAAACCCAGTGCTGGGCACCCCGATTTTCAAGGTGAACTGGCAGGCTTTTGATGCCCCATGCACACAGACATAGCATATACAACCAAATGTAACCCTTAGAAGTCCAGTTCGACTATAAGACTGCCAGAACCGAGGTCAAAGGAGCTTCCCCAAGCCACCTAGTCTTGGAGGTTTTCTTTGGACTCTCAGGGTCATCTGCACCGGGCCCTCGGTCGCTTTCAAGCGGCTCCTTGAGGTCTGAGCACCAGCTGAGAGCTGTCTGAGGGGATAGCTGCTCAGACCTCGCTGCGGGCTGCGGGTCATTTCGTGTCCTTCGCTGAGAAGGACGGCCCGTGAGCTGAAAAGAGAAGGAAGTGAATTGATGAAGGATGAACGATGAAGAGAAGGATCCCACAGAGGTTGAAAGACCTTATAGGACCCTACTGGGATACCTATGGGATAGTCTATAGGGTCATTCAACCTCTCTTGGATGCTGAGATTTTTGGGAGGTCAAGCTGCTTCCCGCTTCGATCGAGCTGCCCGGCACTTCTTCAAGGTCGACCTTCAGACCCCGTAGTTGTCTGGTGGTGGGGGTGTATACCGCGAAGACCTGAGAATTCCTAGGAGAAATCTCTACACTGCAGCGTCCAGAAAGTCAGAGAATCCCAATTCCTTAGTAAATCAAAAAAGCATCATCCAACAGCTACACTGATTGTTGGCCAGCACCATAGCATCGGTGGGGCCAGGAATCTGGGTGGCCATCACCTGGTGCAATGGGGATCTGAAGTGGTGTTTGGCCCGCATCTCGCAGCACCAATTAAGCTTCTTGTGGCGACGAAAGGTCAGACTCGCTTGATATATTATCAGGAATGGATGGAGGTCGCAACAACCGGTTTCCCAAAAATGACCTTATTGCTGCACCTCTGCTGCGTCTTTTTCCCCACAGCCATTTGCAAGTAATTATGTCCATGTGTTCCTATTTCAAGGCCTCCGTCTGCTCCTGTCTGCTGCTGAAGCTGAGAACCGCCTGGCGAAAAGGAGGGCGCGGACCGTGCTGCGCACGTGCGGGTGGCTCCATGGTGTCAGAGGAAGTTCCACGGACCGTTGGAACACAATGGGCCCTTACAAGAGAACGTCCTCCACGGCTGAGTTGTCGTGAGGGGTCCATAGTCCAGCGGCCAGGCAGCTGAAAGCAAATGCGACGCACCAGGGGCCCAAGAAAACCACAGGAGGGTTCACTCGCTTTTCGGCACAGCCCTGCCATCTCCCAGTGCCATCTACAGTCCCATTCGGATCGCGGATCAGGCCAAGGCGAAGGCGAAGACCTTTCGTGGGGACGGCATGAAGGAGGGCCGTGGTTCCTGCGGGCGGCACCGGTGGCACCAGAAGCTCCGAAAGGTGTGAGGAAACCAGACCGCGAAAAGGATTGAACGATCAGGCGACAGGTGAGGTAACTAGTCAGTTGAAAGACATGGAAACATGTATATAAATGTATATGCAGGCATTTCAATGAGTATATAGGTACTTGGCGGAGCCTGGCACCACATACACATGCATATACATGCATATACTGCACTCTTATTCCTCCTCTCCTTCTCCTGCTTTTTCATTCTCTTCTTCTTCTTCTTTTTCTTCTTCTCTGCCTGCCAGGTGGAAAGCTGTTGGTCCCACCCCTTCGAGTGTGCAAATCCTGTTCCACATTGATCTGGTCTGGTTAGGTTAGAGTGCCTCGATTTCGTTTGGTCTTCCGTGGATGGTTAGCACCTGCTCCCAGGATGTGAGGGACATCGTCACGGTCCGTGCCGGAGAAGCACTAGTCAACGGGGTCTGATGCAGTTCTTTTTCAGGGAGCGTGCTGGACCGACGCCCAAATTGTTGTACGCTTGATTCCAACCCACCCTTGAAATAGCAAGCGTTTGTGTCTCAATATTGCGGGCAACTTCATTTCCACTCAATATCTTCAACGCAAATTTTGCCTGATAAACTCGAATCGACGGTTTCAGTGCCAATAGCAAAAGCCACCCACCCTAGAAGCGACACAGGCTGACCCAGATCTGCGATCTAATCCAGGCTTTTTGCACTGAAAAAGTCGATTCGAGCTCATCAGGCGATCCTGCCAAAAGAACATGTGGCACACGGCTCCAAACCAATGTTGTCCTGCATTCTAAAACAGGGTCCAAACTCCCCTATCGGAGCGTATGACCCCATCGGAGTGGGCACGGACACTGGACACTGGACCCCAAAAGTCTCCGGAGCAGCTCCGAACAAGTCAACGCCTTAATCGTGGAGTCGGTGCGGCTTCGCAGCCTGCAGAAAAGCCTCGATTCTCAAATCTTGGTGGGTTTTTGCGGCGTGTTTCTCCTTTGGGACCCACTTTTGACATCTTGCTTCGAAGGATTTTCGAGGTTCCATGGGTTCCGCACCCTCGGAAATTCCAAGGATCAGGCTTTTTTTGCCATAGCTATGGCCAGTGCACCATCTTCCTGCTTAACGTCGCTGCGATGGTGCCCAGGATTGCTCGTGAGAATGGTGACGGGTGAAGAGGAGGAGATCGGAGATCTGGTGACGGGTGTTTGGCCGGTGTTCGTGAAGAGTCCGGGGGAAGTTTTTGGTGGAGACATGTGGAGACCATGCTCATCCATTTTGCAGCACGGCTGGAGACAGGGGGCCATCGCATTTCTAGAATTGTTTCTGTTGAGCTTTGCTCCGTGGCCGGTGGAGCAACCTGATCGCACATTCCCAGTCTCTCGTCAGGACGCATTCCTGCAAGAGGCACGGCATGTGTTCGGAGGGAACGCGTGCGGATGCGTATAGGGTCGTCCTGCCGGGCATTTTTATGACAATATTTTCTTTGGCCACTCCTATGGTCGTCCCAAACTCTTGACTACTTGGCAACCAAGTTCCTGGAAGTTCGCCCATGGCCCATGATGGCATATTCATCGATGGAATTTGGAGTCAGTCCAAGGGGTGGTGCAAATTCGTTCGCCTCACTCAGCATGCTTTGCCAGGTGGCTCTGGAGAAGGTCTTGGAGAAGGTGCGATGGGGGTGAACCAGATCATCCAGAAGGTTTTGAAGCACTGAGCAGTAGCGATCAGTGTGGGAGGGTAGATGTCAAAACCTGTATTCATGTTCTTTGCTGGAACTTGCTTTTAATTTGCAGCTTCATGATGTCAAGTGGACTACTAACCTACTATAGTAGGTATATAGGCAACCAGTGGTTCCAAACACTTAATCAGTGTGTCAGAGAGGTGATCGGCCAATGGCCGCCGCCCGGCCCAGGGGAAAGGCAAAGGGAAAGGCAAAAAGGGCGATCGCAAGGGGAAGGACTGCATGCGGAGATAGGATCTGCATGGGTGGTAGATGGTGATAGGGATGACCATGTGTTCCCATGGACCGACCGGGGCAAGAAGGGGGAGCGATCGAACTGCATGGTCGACCCCGTGGCGACCCCACCGACGGGTCCGCGCGAACCGTGCGCGGGGTCCAGGAGAAAGGGAAATCCAAGGCGCGGGGGAGGCGGTGGAGAGGGGGCGCCAGCATGGCCCCTTCCGCATCGGAGGGAAGGCGGATTCTCAAGACTCCATGAGGGTCGAAGGGACTTCCGCCGGTCGAGCTCCCCCCCTCGGACGTGATGTTGGACAACACGAGGCTCTGTCGGGAGACGTCAAGGAGACATGACCAGTTTGGGCATGGCTTGATTTTTCGAGGTGGATGTAGCAACCGACATATGATTTGAGACCATGCACTTCGGGTGGCGACCTTCCAAGAATCTCTTGGACTCCCTTCGCTGTCTTGAACACCAGACTTGGAGGGTTTCGATCGTTGACATCAGGAAAAATGGAGAGAGCGAGAGAGAAGAGAGAGAGAGAGAGGGACCCACCCACAGGGTGTGCCGTACTCGTCAGAAGCTTTCGAGTTGAACTTTCACCCTCTCCCCTCAGTCCGCCACCCAAGCTCTTCATTGGGTCCGTCGGGTGATGCTTTCTGAGCTCAGAAAGTGAGCTCGGCTCGGAAGCTTCGAGCCAGGGCAAAGGGAAAGGAAAGAAAGGCCCGGAAGCTCTGCTGTGCTGGGGTGGATCTCTGCCCTGCTTCTCTGACTCTAGTGCCAGTCAGAGGAACCGGGTGGCACCTTCAGGAGCGATTCCAGTTCCCCTAAGTTGGAGCCATCTCTCTCCTCCCCGAGACGGGCCAGAAAATGGGGCCCGCTTTGGTACTATGGTGTGTATACTATGATTCTTTTGGGCTCGCATTAAGAAAGACCATCCAAGACGTTCGATGCTTCCGGCACCGCCTGGTCCGCTCCCCCATCGGTCCCCACGGCGAGGCAAGTCTGGCCGTGGAAAGGAACGATGACGGCGGCCTTCCCCGCCAGCCGGGCGGCCGGCAGGCGGGATCAGCACGGAAGCAGCCACCAGAAATCGAGGGGCCAGTGCCGAAGGACCTCCGAGACGCTGATTTGGTCGAGGACGAGTCCTTATCTTAGACTTAAAGTTCTATTTCTGGCATTGCTTCCAATGAGAGGAGGCAGTTCGATTCATCAATCGGTAGCTCGCCGTGAAATACTTCCAAGAGGTGGGTTCCCCGGGACCACGAGGGCAGGAGGGGTCCCGTCCACAGGCTGCGCTCCTCGTGCTTGTCGCGCGCCCGTGCGGGCATCGACAAAAAGGCCGCCAGGGCTTGCGAGAGGTGCCTGGAACCTCCAAACTCCATGTGGGAAGGTGCTTGAACGGACTAGAATCATGTCCATGCTTCCGTGGAGCTGACATTGATGGAAAAACCCGGGTGGTGTGCACCCATGGTGTCCCACACAATCATCCCGGGATGAATTCTCTGAGATTTGTTCGCATTCTCCGAGACTGCTTCGCGGCGGTTTGATTTCTCAAGGTTCAGCTTGGAACTGCCCCATGGCCTATCCAACCACCGTCAACATTCTCAACTTGCACCCCATGGAAGGCCATCAAGTTGACGTGGAACCTTTGCGTATCACCTAGTAGAGGCTTCGGCGGCTGTTGCCGCTCGCACCCCACGTGGGCCCAAGCAGATGATAGTCGTTTACCGCGTTCCAACCGACTGAGGGTGGAACATCCCGACACGACTTGAGGAACCCAAAGCTTCGGATCATATCTTTGGACGCCCGAAAGCCAAGGAGGGACACGAAAGAAATCTTGAAATTGACCCACCGAAAGCCAGAGCCAGACCCTGATTTTCTCTCATTTCCGCCTGAGGGTGGTATCTGACAAACCATGAAGAGCCAACCACTCCGCACGGGGCCAATCGGGTCACCCACCCATGCCCCGCAACTCACCATGAGGGTTCCCTGTTCCACTCCAGCCCCACTCGGCCCCCAGCCTCGCCTGCCATGGCTCCACTGTGGCGTGGTGCTGTGGCATCTCTACCGCTCGCGCTGGTGGCGGAGGTGCCAGATGAAGGCGAGGGTCCGGCCTCGTGAGCGGTGGAAGGTGGAAGGAGCGGTGTATGCCAAGAGGCTGAAGTCGCAGGAACGTGTGAGAAGAAAGGATGTGAGAAGGACATGGAGTGAGAAAGAGGATTCTCTGAACATCTTCTGAACTCTTCTCCCACAAAATCTTCTGAGCACGGTGTTCAGCGGCGACTTTCCAGAGTGAAGGACAATTTTCTTTTAATACGTTTTTTGTAACAAATAAGGCCAGCCTACTGAGGAGCTCTTGGTCTCATCGCTGGTATCCTGGGATTGCAGGGAGTTTCTTCGCTGGTTCCGCGCGGGGAACCCCCCGAGAGGGCCCCGGATCGGCACAGCAAGGGATTTTCTCGGAGGATCCGCCGATCGGGCAGGGGCCATGAAGATCCGGGAGGGTCTAGCTGCTGTGGAGTGGTGCGCCATGATGATGAACTTCCAGCCGCAAGAGCTGCCTCGTGGCCTCAGGGTTTGGGCTTGAACTGGATCTTCCTTCGAGTTTTGCTGTCCAACCTGAAACCTGCATAGCTCCCCCCCTATTCTGGGCGAGTGCACCAGTTGGCCTTATTGTATATGGTGTCGTCCAAGGCTCCTTCTTTTTTTTGGGGTCTCTATTCGAACCCATTCAACCCAGCTTAGCCCCGCTTTGGACCGGCGCGACTCCTCGCTTTGGGCTGATGGTTTTTCTGGGGCGGTGGCGGTGGGAGTGACTGGCAGGGTTCGTGACTCATTTGGGGCCTCTACGGAGGTCTTCGCCGACGCCCAGCGACCCAGCGACCCATTCGAGGCTTGAGCAGTGTTGCTACCAAGTGTCCTCGAGCAGCGCCTGTCAGGGGACCCAGCGAGGGAGAGGACTGCCTGAGATGCGGAAAAGAGGGTGGCTGCATCGGTCTACAGCTGCTTGGTTTAATAGGCGGGTATTCCCAAAACGAGCCCTCCGCTTTTTTGGGGGCATCACGTGCAATCACCAACCTGGACCCTCTACCAGTACCCTCCAACGGGTCACCTGCGACTTTTAGGTCAGCAAAAGCCTCCATTTCGGAGACCTGTAGGACTCGGCAGTGCTGGTAGTCATCGCCGGTGGTTTTGGGCAACACCACCGAACATCAACAGATCCTGAATCCGGGCCCTCCAGGCGCCATGGAGCTGGCGGATTCCGTGGGCGCCAAGTGTTGCCGCAGCGCCCCTGGGACGGGCTTCAGGGAGGTCCCAAGAGAGGTGCTCACAGCCCTCAGATGTACCACAGACCAAGGGTCCAAACGTTCAGGTCTCTGAATCCCGCAAGTTTGGGAGTGTCAGGTCCTGTCCTGACAGTGCTCCAACATGGTCCCGTATACCGCCAAAGGGACCAACTAGTCTCCAGCCACTGGAGTCTCCACTCAATTCTCCAGCTTCTTCAAGTCTGGGGTTGGATCCTGGACTGTCTGGGGTGCTGATCTTGATTCAATTGGCATGACTCCACTATCATGAGTGGCCTGATCATGAGTGGCCTGACAATAAGACCTGTATCAGTATTGTCAGGTCATGCCTTGGGTCAGGATCATGGGTCATGAGACCCTGAGCACCCTCACTGACTTGGGTGCCGCAGGGAAGAGACAGATGGGCCCCTTCTTGTTTGGTCGAAGACCACTTGGACCATCTCAGACCATCTCAATTGGTCGAAGACTGCGTAGTGCCCAGCAGGGTCTCTTGGTGCTGGTGGTGGGGCAGCTCGAAGGGGCCACCCAAACTCGCACCGATCAAAGAGGATCGAAGTGGTCGTTGCCCAGTGAACCCTTGAGCCAGCTGAACGCATCTGAACGCCTCCAAGCATGGAAGCTGACCGTTCCACCTCCATGATGGTTCTTGGAACCATGTTGATTGAGCTTTCTCTGAAGCTGAGAGTCCTGAGGACACGGAGATGAGTGGCTTCTATGGCTTCTTGCTGCCTCCAAGGCCCTTCTCCTTGACGCCTGGCAGATTGAAGCTGAGAGTCTTCTCATCTCAGCCTCAACAGATCCCAAAAACCGTGGGCAAGAGTGATGAACAGCCCTCTGGCGGTGCACATTGACTCACTCAAACGAAATGGGACCCGTTGGCTCTTCGCCAAGCAAATGGGTCTCCTCAGGGGCGATCTTTTCCCTTTCGGTGAAGGACCCCACGAGCCTTCGAAAAGAAAAGGAGAGACCGTTTTGGTGACCTGCAGTCGTTGGTCCATGGTGCGTCCTTATCTCACGAATCCTCCAGAAGTCACATCAAAGATCCTCGCTGAGGGGGGTTTTACAAGAAAACACTCTTGTGTGACGTGCCATTTCTTTGTTCTTGTGGGGGCAAGACAATGACCAATTGGTTCCAGGGCACCCTTCCAGTTGTGGGTGCAACTCACGTGTGTTCTTCTGGGTGGCAGGGCACGAGCACTAAGCTTCGGTCAATGTGATGGTTGTCTAGTTTATTGAGGGTGGACAACCACAGTCGCACGAGCGTTCCCGAACGCATCCGGTCTGAAAAGCGGAGGGAGGTGGCAGAGACTCAGTGTGATCCTGTGGATTGAAGCATCCCCAGTGACTTCCCCTGATCCCGCATGTGGGGACTACTACAATTCACTTACCTTGCCGACTTGACTACCTGGGCCATGTGCACCAGGAGACCGTCCGGTTGACCGACCCCCGGCCGCGTCGGTTCCCAGCGATCGATCGCCGGGGGTCCGGGGGGTCTCAGGAACGGTCGTCCCAATGACATGGACCCCTGTAGCACTCGGGCGCCCGACGTGCAGTGCCTCTTCAGTCGCCTGGGATGGATTCATGCCGTCGGCCTGTATGGCCGAGTCGGTGCTGGTCAGGGTGGGGCGGAAGGTCTGAAGAGCTTCAAAGGCCTTCAGGGCGACCCTAAAGCATCCAGGCAAGCGGTAAATAATTGATAGTATAGTCAATTATTATATACTTACATATAACTTTTTTGGGGGGGTGGTTGGATCCTTTGGATCCATATGGAGACGCGCCAACTCTTCGTGGTCCCCCGGTCCGCCACATTCCACTCCGGCCACGGCGGAGATTTTTCAAGCCGTGGAAACACTCCAGTCCAGGTTCTCCAGGCACCCTGCAACCATTGGAGCACGAGATTTTGTGCAATTTCGGATGGCGCTTGGTTTCATCCCAAACACTCAGTGGTAGGGGCTGAATCATCAGTTTGTGGTGCTCCATTGGTTGATCACTCCGCGCAGGCTAAACCTGTCAGGACGTCCTCCCAGGGGCCTCTAGCTCCAGAGTTGGGAGTTTGGCAACTTTTGGTGATCTCCGGGGTGTTCAAAAGGTGCTTTTTGTGCGCTCAAGCTGAGCTTGTTCTGGGGTGGGTGGACATTGGTCAGAATTCTTCGGACGAAAAGCTTCTTGGAAGTCTTTGGGGCAATTTGTGTCATTCAAGTTCTGAGACTCACAAGATGCATAGAAATGGAAGATTGGACGATAACGCACACACACACATATCAAAAAAACTACTAACTATTTAAATGTAACTAGTAACTTGGATCCATTGTTTAGTCACTCATCCCATGGACCTTCTTTCCCCGGACTGAGTGGGCCAGCTCCGTGATCAAACTCCAAGGTTGGAACAACTTCCATATTCTGGGTCCGCAACCCCTCGAGGAGATGCGTGTCGTCTAGTGGTCCAGTGACGAACACGAGGAAAAAACCACCGCTGTCGACCTCGGGTCGATGTAGAACTTAGAAGGGGAGCATCGATGTAGATGGACTATGATGGGCTGAGACTCTGTTTTGGTTGGGTGGGAGACTGACGCGCGGCACTGGCGCAGCACTTGCGGCACTCGTCTCAGCACTTTCAGCTTCTTTTCCGGACGCGGCTGGTGAGCCGCCCTGTGGCCGCACTGGAATGTTTTACTGCGCAAGCTCCGCCAAGAGGTTCCACTTCTGACCATGAAACAAGACAATCCCATCCTAAGTGTGGTGGAGGTGTGGACCTGGTGCTTGGGGCCCTCGTGATGCTGCGCTGTTGCAACTGGAGATTCCCTCGTTGAGTCGATCGTTCCACTGGTGACGGCACCAGGAGTTGCGGGCCTTAGGCTTGCTGGGCACTGAGGAGGGTCACATGGTCTCCTTGCGCCTGGGCTGAAGAGAAGGGATGGGGCGCTTTGGATCCGGCAGCGCTGCCCCAGATCCGGAGGTCACTCAGGGGGAAGGCTAGGGGCCAAAAGGCTAGGCGAGGCCTTGTCTTCCGTTTCTGCGTGCGTTCATAACCTTCACTGTCCACAGATTCTAGGCGAAGGCCTCAAAAGACAGGTCAAGTGCATCCTTTGGGAAGAAGTGGGAGGAAAACCCTTCTGGGTGCGGAGGGACGTAATCCTTGAGGATCAATCTCTTAGCCCAATTGCCAAGGCACATGTTCTTTGGAGCAGGTGCCTACTAGCCGGCTGGCTGGCCACTCCAGGTGTGAACATCTTAACATTTGACCCCTCAACTTCCCAGTCGACTGGAGCCCCTTCCCCTTTGATTACCAGCACCCAGGCATGCGACGACCAGCCCGCCTCTGATGGACGTCGTGCAAGTCAACAGTCTGGCTGAGGAGCCGAAGCGTGCTCGGTGAGTCTTGAGTCAAGACCCCGAAGACTTCATCGTTCCAGTGGTGTGGACTCATCGTTCACGTGGATCTTAAGGCCCCCGAACCCCGCGACGACTCGGACGACGAACGCACCATCCGAAGACCATGGCGCCGGTGGTGCCATCCACTGCCATCCGATTCATCCGATTCTTCCAGGGCGCATCGAGCGGCGCGCCCAGCCAGGGGCGAAGGACTTGACCAATTGGTGACATCAAGACTTAGCAAGAGTTTGTGCTCCCATGTGGGACTCATGCTTTAGTTTTCAATAGTATTCACCTTCCCATCCCGCTCAGGAGGTGCCGATCTTCTACCATCGGCTTTTCCACGAGTATGCAGAGGCAAAATAAGCGACGAATTCGGAAGCAAACCGAGCCGGAGCCGTTTCGTCAAAAGGGTCCAAGAGAGGATGAACTGCAATGCTCAAAGCAGCACATCCGCAGCAACGTCAGGCAATTCTCAGGGCAAGCCCTCTGCAGAAGACGTTGCACGAGCGGCACGTTTCCACGGCCCACCTTTCACCACAGACCTTGGGTGGCATTGCTTCCGTGGGGCCCACCTGTGCCGGTGCCAAATCCACTGGCTGGGGAGCATGACCTGGACCCTCCGTGCCTCCCTGGACGGGCAGTGAATTGGTCGGCAAGAGTTCGCTGGGAAGGGTGAGTGAAGAGCCGTCTATGGATGTTTTGATAGAGTTCTGCGTTGCACAGGGAAAGCAACCCAAGACATCAGGAAAAACGGTTGGTCATCGAAGAAGTAGGTTAGTAGCTCCACTTTTTTTTCATCACTCCCATTTGCCCTCAGGCAACCTGACAGTATTTGCTGCGTCTCTGGCGAAAACGCGCCGGAGGTCGCGCCGCAAGCGCTCTGGGAGTACACCCACTATGTGCAACACAGGTGCTGCTTCGTACCGTAGGACTGTAGGACTTCGGACTTGAGATTCTCTGAGAGGATTGTCAGGATATGTCATGAACAAATGGCTGTAGTGAGCGATGAGTGTAATGTTGCTCCTGGTTTGGGTCTGGCGCTGGACATCTAAACTCGGTTGACCGTGGGGCATCTCCCGGTGTCACCCGCACGGTCCAGGCGGCTGTAGGGGGTTTGGATGCACCGAGAGAGCCTTCAAAGGTCGGGCTCAAGTTTCCATAAAGGTGGATGGCATGGGCCCGAAAGGAAGACTGAAGGGGTGATGAATCAAGATCCCCTTTTTTGCTAGAGTTCATTGCCCCCCAAAAAACTGGATTCCCCACGTGGACTGGCCGGTTCCCCACCACGTTGATTTTCCGGTTCCTGCCAGGCAGTCCTTCCGGCCTCTGGCCCGCCGGGGTCGTGGCTGCGAGCAGCCGGAGGCTGCTGAGGCCAAGGCCATGGCGGACACCACGGCGCTGCCGTGGCTGGCGTTGAGGCCGCCGAACTGACCGGGTCAGCCGAACCGACCGGGTCAGCCGAACCGACCGGGTCAGCCGAACCGACCGGGTCGCTGGTCTTTGGTCCAATCAAGACAGGGGGTCAAAGGGGTTCCAGCTCGAGTCCGACTTGGCAGACGCGGTGACGGGTCTGGTGGAAGGACCGATTGAAAGGACCGAAAGGACCAGGGCGATCCACGGCGCCAGGTGGTTGGAACGGGGCAACCCCCCTTTCGCCGCACGCCTGCAATGCGGGTTTGGCACGAGGGCTGGACGAGCTGAGAAGGTGGACTAGCTTGGCTTTGCGGCTTTATCCCCAAGCATGGGGAAGTCTCTGGTGGTGTTCATATGTGGTCATGTGGTCAGCATCATTTTGGAGAAGTGCCTGTTCCCCCTGTGGCACACTGTGGATGAGTCACAGGTTTCTGTATTCCTCTAGCATGTATGGGCTATGTAACGATGGAGCCCAGAGGCTAGCTTATTCTAATTCTATGAAGCTGCCCAAATCGCAGCACCTTCGTCTCTCACTGGACGGTCTTCCTCCCGCCGGATGCCGAGAACAGCTTCGTGAACTTGGGCGCACGGGATGGCGTCGGGGACGACCCCTTGCAGTTCCTGCTGCAGGACGAGCTCGGGCCGGGTTGTCGGGGGGATGCCAGGATTGGTGAAGATGGTGACCTTATATATCCAAACAGTCACCCAGAAACACACATCTGGATAAGAAGAGTCAATCTGGTGACCTCCCTAGGGACTGCTCATCATTTTCACTTCGATGGAGGAGTAGCAGGTTTTTTTTTTTTTTTAACCTGACTTGGTAGCACTCTACATGGGCTCCGGTGGGCTCCGGTGGACCATTGATCCTCGAAACTTCGCTGAGTTTGGCCAGGCCAACAATTTTGGTGACAGGGTAGGCATGCATCACTCAGGGTAGGCATTTTCACGATGTTTTTTTCCTCTAGATTGCTGAAGAAGTTTGGCTAGTTCTTCTTTTCTCTTGATCAGCGGCCATGTGATGAGTCCTTGTACCAATTGGTTTCTATTTCTTGGTGGACTAAGCCCACTGACATGGGATCGGGCCCTGCTCCCAGGCCGCTACGCGTGGCGGGGGGATTGATCGCTGGCCTGGTGGTCCAGAGGGCCATATGGATGCCCGGGCACTGGTGACTCCCAATCCGCACTCCGCCAGTCCCATCCGACCCTGGGCGATTTGATGCGACCCTGTCGGACATGTCAGGTTGAAGCGAATCTGCCTTTTCGGCAGATCGGCTACACTGACCTTTCTAAAGCAGGAGGATGACTTGCAAGGGTGTTGGCTTCCACAGCTCCTTACCTCTACCGCGCCAGACTGCCGCTCACGCCGCTCACGGCGCTCACGGCGCCCACGCGAGCTCCGCCCTCGGCGCTCGCTTGAGGACCCCCGGCATGTGGACTTTGCGCTGGCCGTCGAGATGGACCCTGAGTGCCCTGAGATGGACGGTTTGGGTTGATCCTAGCGCGTCCAGGGACGAGGACGGATTTGGGGTCCAAATGGCAGGAAGCTGAGAGGGGTGTCTAAGACATGTGAAGGGATTCGCTTGACCATGTTCTCACAGTAGTCACACTAGGTCACTTGAAGGTTTTCCACAGGAAACGCCAAGAAGGTGGGTCAGAGCATTTTCTTCCACTGGGGATGGTGGATGGTGTCGTCTACCGAAGTGCTTGGCCAACGTGTCGGTGGCTCGCCATGAATGCAGCTGCTCGCCATTCTTTCTGACCTTGCTCGGGTGAGCCATGTCAAAGGCTGATGAGTTGGGACCTGAAAGATCCTGAAAGTGAACATCTCCACTATCATGCACTGAACTTAGCCATCCAGCAGGCATGCAGAAAAGGAATGAATCCTTAATTAATCTATCATCTCCTTTTCTGTCTTCGCTCTGTGGACCAGGTACTGCCAGCGCCATCGCCAGCACCTCCCTCATGTGCAGGTTCTGTGTCTCCAGGTGTGGACGTAGACCGCGAGAGGGGACGAGAGGGGCAGGTCTCCGAGTTCGACCCCAATGGAAACTGGAAGGATGGGCCATGCAGGATGGGCCATGCAGGCGCCTCCAACTCTGACTCATCACACGAATTCACAAGATGTTCCGGCAGAACTCTGGCAGATTGGGGTGCAAAAGAAAGAACTTCTTCCAGCAGTCTGAATCAAGCGGCAGCATCAGATCTTGAACTTTTGGGACTGGTGAAGTTGCATGGACACCCTCAAACCACCTTCACTGATCTTCACTGGGTGTTGCATTCTTGAACCATGTTGAAGACTCTTCACACCCACTTGATTGTCACGACCCCTTTCACTTCCCTTCCTTCTTCGGCCCCTCGGGTCTCCCCAGTTCTCCCCGCTCGCGCCGGGGGATCGCTTCTGCCTCCGGAGGTGTCGGAGGCCACGATGCCGGAGATCCTTCAGAAGGTGCCCCGTGCCGCGAGGCCCGTGCCGCCGCGTTTGGGCGCGCGCACTGGCGCTTTCTTTTGGGGGGGCGAAGGAGAGCCGAGTGGGTGGGGTTTAATGCCCAGAAAAATCAGAAAATGTGGGAGGATGAGGTGACGTGGGTGGTGAAGGATACCATCGTTCTGGGGAGTCTAACGTGCTTAATTCTATTTTAGAGATGTTTCTTTGGGGAGTGACCCGCAAAGGATTTTCCTTTTACTTCAGTGGTGCGAAGTGCAGTCTTTGGACTTCAATAGGGGTGGGACAGGACCCCTTCTGCAGTTTCTGAGGAACGGAAAGGAACCAAGGAATCACAGTCGAGCCCAATGATTCTGCAATCTTGCTCCAGAAGCACTGGATTCACTGGTGGTTTTTGCCTCGGGGTCTCTGGGTCTCCGGTCACTGCGGTCACTGGTCGACTTGGGTTTCCCCACTGGTCTCCTCCCGGTCGAAGCAAACGCCGGTTGGGACTCCCCCGTCTTCCCCGGGCCCCGGGCTCTGGATCCAGAGCAGACACTGCGCCCCTGGAGTCCCATCCACCGAACCAGGATTGAGGTCAGCCCTGGGTGGGTGCGGTCACTTTTATAGGCCAACAGGCTTAGTAAGTTCGGTCATTGGATAGGACTCCAAAGGACTGGGTCACTGGGAAGGGCGCTCAGCAGGTCCACCACGCCGCGGCTGGATGTGCTGAAGGTCCTTCCTGCGCGTCCTGCGCAACGCCAGTCTCAGCGGGATCAGCGGGCTCTGTTCATGAATGGGTTGAGCTACCAAAAACACTGACTCCGGTGGATCCAGATACCACCAAGACAGATTCGGGCACTGGGTGTGTATTAGAATAGCATGGCTCGACTGAAGACTCCCCTCGAACCCTGGGGGTTGAACTGGGAGGTCTCCCAGCATACAGTAAGACACACCCAATCAGACCCTTCATTACAAAGGTGTTGGACTATCCCTCTGGTTGTGCACATGGAAACTGATGAAACATGACCTGCAATCTAGGGAGGGGAAAGGGTCTATGTCCATCACCCGTTTTCGATCATCTATTTTGATGGCCCAAGTGATTCCATTTCTGTTGAAGCGTGATGTTTGTGCACACGGCTCCACCCATTTGTGGAACACGGCTCCGAAGCACAGTCGTCCACCCAGAGTTTGAGTCGCCTGCCGACGGTTTTTCGCCGTGTTTGAGCCATACGAATCGGTCAGGGGAGGTCCATGGTCCATGGTGACCGGACGGTCCATGAGCTGATCAAAACAATGAAGCATACGATCGGTGGATGTGCAGCCCGAGAAGACGCAACTATCGATCAATGCTACCATGTTGTAGGAAAGGGCTCGGGGAGCCAAGTAAACATTGATGCATGGCTCGAGCCGATCTTTGGATGAACTTTGAGGGGAGGAGTGTCCTGGACACGTGTCTTCCCTTCTAAACAGCGGCCCTAGTGCTTCCGTTGTCCAACCTTATGAAGTGGTCTACCTGGTAAGATCAGCTGTCAATTGACCCCGAAATCAAACATTGAAATGAAGGGCTGTCTCATACCTGTAGCCAGGTGGACCTTGATGGTGCTGACTGTGACGCTGCCTTGGGGCGCGGCACGGGTGGATGGTCGGGTTTTGGGCCCCACCGGTGTCTCAGTTCAACACCACACAGGCGCCCCAAGTACCCACAGGCCGCGCGGCAGTACCTTGGCGCCATCCCCCTCAGGTCGGTGTTGGAGATGGACCCCTTCTGTCGAAGACATCTATAGCATTCTCTAGCACGGGGTGCCAGGACCAGCGTCCCCATCCACTCCGCCTGGGAGACGCTTCCTTGGCGTATCACATCGATCGATGATGCGCATCATGTGCTTTCCCGGGGGCGATGGAACTGGGGGCCATCCCGTTGGAACGGGCGAGACGCCATCGAAACGCGTTAGGACTTCTTTTTCCAGAAGGGTGAGTCTGGTGGTGTTGGAACCACACAAGGGGACCTGTTCTTGCAACCCTCCACACCGTGTTCTTCGCCATGCAGGGAAGGATCCCCCCGCGCGGAACGCGGCATGGACGTAGGCACACTGGTTTGGCATGGCACTTGTGATCAAACCCCCAGGCCCCAGGGATGTCAGGAGTGCTTTTGGAGGGATTTTCGGTCCTTGCCAGAAGCCCCTCCTTGCACTGTGGGATGACCTGGGGGGTTTTGGACCTTCTGGGGCTCCCTAAATGGGTTGGAAACCCGTGGGATCTCCCTCCTCCGCCCTGGAAGGTTCCTCTCTTCCGTGCGCGCGAAGCTGGTGGTTTTGGAGGCAGACAACTGTCTTTCGGCGGATTTCTTAGGTGGGTGTGACAGCACAGCAGAGATGAAGGACAGGAAGGAAGGATCACATTCTTTTTTGACATCAGACACTCGAATTGTTGATGTGGTCACCCGCTGGTGGAGCTTCATTCATCAGCTCAATTGTTGAGTGCGCACTGGCGCCAGCTGCCTCATTCCGTTTCGCTGCCATGGGATCTGCCTTCAGCGCCTTTGATCCGACAGCAGTGGAGAAGAGCCAGGAGATATATGACGAGGCATGAGCGAGGAGTCACAAAGGGGTGGTGTTTAGTCCCTAGGTCAATGAATCACGGGGCACCCCCAAGGACCCCGAACCTCCACTGCTTTCCGCCTAGGACACCGTTTTTTTGAAGCATTTAACACGGCACACAGCCACCCTTTAGTTGGCACGTTGCCTCTCGCTACCCGCCCCTTTCGTGAAGGCTCCGTCGGCTCCAAACTCTTGGGGAACCACGCGGCCGTGTTCGACGTGGCGTGTTCGACGTGGTTGGTCGCAGGTGTTGGAGAAGCTTCCACCTCTCAGTGGTAAGTGCGTGGCCATCACCGGATGCACCACGGGCTTGGGCTTCTACTTGGCCGAGCTGGCCGCCCGCAAGGGCGCCGCCAAGGCCGGCTCGGAGGTCTTCCCAAACGGCAGCTGTTGGATCGATCAATCCACTGAAAAACAGCTAAGTTTCAATGATAGGTGGTCGCTTCAAGCCATGCTTTGTTCCATTCAATGTATATATATATATATACCAGGACCTTCCAACAGGTGGTTTTTGGACACTCCTTAAGCTCTAAGAGGCTATTTATAGACACCTCTTGGAAGGTCCTGGCATATATATATATATATAGCCTGAATTGTGCATCTTCCGGATTCGTGCCAGGTTTTTTCTCCCTCCACGGGTGGTCTCGCTCCCCACATGCTGACGTCCACGCGCCCAGGTTCTCTTGCTCAACCGCCCATCGGACCGCGCCTCCAAGGCCGAGAAGTCGATCTCCGAGAAGGCGGTGGGGAGCAAGGCGCGAGGGGCGGCGCGGGTCGGTCAGCGCGACCTCCAGGAAGAGCGGGTCGAGAGTCGAGATGCATGTAGACTAGGACCATAACCATATTCCCCCCAGATGAAGAGGATGTTCAAGTCAAATGGCTGGGGTTATTAATCAAGAGTCTACATTAGCTCCTATAGAATAAAAAGAACTCTGGGAGTGGAACGATTGGAGTTCCCCAAAGCTCGGAGGAACGAACTCGGCCTCGACCGGCGGATGCACGAGTGAAGAGGTTGGAAGAGTTGGAACCGATGGTTGACAAGAACAAGATCTCCAAAGATCTGCTTGACTTGGTCTGAGCGCGAAGCGAGTGACCCTTCGACTGGACTGCCGAAGAAGAAGTGTTCCACACGATCTCCCAGCCACGGCATCGGCGCCGAAGCGACCCGCCCGCGGCCAGAGGTGCTGACGGTGCCGTGTGACCTGATGAGTTTCGAGTCCGTGCGCCATGCTGCTGCACAGGTGCAGGCGGAGCTCGGAAGCCAGGCGGTGGGCGTGGCGAAGCGGGACGAACCGGTGCGATGCGGGAAGAGATTAACAGATGGAACATCCATGGAACATCATGAAACCTGAAAATGGACCCTGCAAGGAAGACGAGCTTCCTCCACACATCCGTGGCTTTCCAGGTTCCAGAACCACCAGGGCGTCCGGTGGACGGTTTATATCGAAAGAAACACCCATGCGGCAGAGGTTTTGGCCATCCAAATCCAGGGGATTCTTCATCAACCCTCTGCAAACACCGGGCAATGTATGGTGAAAACATCGGGTCTTGAATGGATGGATGCCCTGCTTGGGGAACGACCTCCACCCCCCAGGGCACGACAGAACCACGTGGCTCCGTGTCAACCCTCTGGCGCTGTTCAGGGCCTGGATGTCTTAGCGCTCAACGCTGGCGTGATGGCCTTGAACGACATCCGCACCAGTGACGTGTCAAGACAAAATCCATCTGGAAGGTACCAGGAATAATACTTTATTATTCCTGCCGCTATGGAGGGTATAGGTATGCTAGGGCTTGGGCTATACAAACTTGTTGCCCACCAGTTGTCAAAGAAGAACGGCTCACGACCACCTGACCAAACGGCACGGACCACCGCTGAAGCGGTGCTCGGTTCAGAGTCAAGGCCCACGTAGCCGAGCCCTGTTGATTGCGAGGTTTTGATGGATGATCGGACAGCTGTTGGGCATGCAGGTATCGTGTTTGTGTTTGTGCACGTGCGCATCTCTTTCCTTTCATCCGAGTTTCAAGGTGAAGGGTATGATGTCCAGATGCACACCAACCAGTTGGCTCATGTACTGCTCTTGTCCAAGCTGATGCCGCAGTTGGAAGCGTGCGCGACACAGACACTCGGTGGAACTCACTCAGGGATCGGGCCCATAGGACGTGGCTCCGAGCGCAAGACGATTCATGGAATCATTCGCACTCTCCATACCTGGATCTTCCAGGCCTTTTCATGATTCAAGTGGCCTTTTACCGACTTCTCCAAGGTTGGAAGATTCAAGTATCTATATGAATAGTGGCCTACCTTGACCCCGTTTCAAACCTTTTTTTTCGATGGAGTTACCGACCCAGGTTGCGTCGTCGTTTTTCGTGTTGCTCTTACGATGTCCTTTTGCCTTGAGGAAGGGAGAAGCACGTGTGGTCTTTCACAGCTCGAGTGCTCGCGATGTTCCCTACTGCGATTTGGATGTGGCCCGAAGCATTTAGACCCTGGCCACCGAGCCCTGCATGGATCGGTAGCCTGGGCACCGCTCCTGGAGGGGTACTCTGCCCGGCAGTGGTTGGGGCAGGGCTGCAGGGCTCGGTTTCTGGTGGGTCCCAATCCCACGTGAAAGACAGAAGTGGAAGTCGAAAGGCTCCGGCTGGCCGAGCGGCAGAAAATTGGATAGAAACAATTGGCTTCCCCTTCACTATGCAGCTCTCTACTTCTGCGTGTGTTTTTCTTCAGAGTTCAATCAATGTATCAACTTTTGCTCCATGCCAAGCCCCAAGCGTTGGGCCATGTTCAATGTTCATGTGATGTGTTTGTGATCCGTTGTGTCCACCGTTGCTTGCCCATGACCCGCCGAAACGGGTGGCCGAGGCCAAGTACTTCCAGAAGGCCGAGCCGGGCACCTTGGGTGGCAACCACACCTGCATCATGAGCGAAGCCTCAGGCCTTTGCGGTGGACCTTGGACTCGGTATCATATGACCAAGCTCGCCAATGCGGCCTATGCCATGAAATTGCATGAGGAGCTTCAAGCGCGCGGATCCAAGGTCCGCCGACCCTCGGGAATTTTGGGGGTGGCCCTGCAAGCCAGTCGGATATGCAGGCCCTGACGGATATGGATTGGGTGTATGGTGTCAAGATGCAAACATGAATTAGAACGATATTACAAGATGTAGAAAAGTTCCAAGTAGCCGGCCCTGGCGGCTTCTGGGACGCCCCCCGGCATGAAGAAGAAGCACTTGGAGTCGGATTCCTTTTCGTGCGCGGTTTCCCGCGCGAAGCCGCCGAAACCTCGGCTCCCAGCGACGAGGTGAAGTCCCTGGCCGTGGATCCCGGCGCATCCGTCACTGAGTTGCAGAGGACATCCATCACACAAGGCGAGGACCAGCGAGGGCCAGGTGGGTGAAGCATGCGAAACAAATCGTTTGGGGCGACCGGTCATGTGAGGACTTAAGTCATATCACGGAAGGAGGTGGGCTCTGCGCTTGGGATTAGCCTCTTGCTGTGTCCCAATTGCCGGCAGGAAACATGTCAAACTGTTTGGCCAATGTGATGATGTCGGGCAGCAGTGCGCAAAGTGCAGCAGATGGAAGTACGCCTTTGGCGCCGCTGGTTGGCAGTTTGGATGTTTCATTTTCTGAAAACCAAACCAAAAGTCATCTAATTTTGCAACTGTTTGTACGTGAAATGGTTCATAAGGACACACAATTATTCATATAAAATAAACAAAAACATACATATATACATATATATATATGCGGATGACATATCGTATTTGTTTTTCTAATTCCTTCTGCGCTACTACTGTACTACTGCTGGGACCTTAAGGTATTCTTAGCGGGACGGATAGGAACGGCATGGTTTGGGTCACAGGATGGCTTGCTTTAGTCCGGAAGCTGACTCCGGCGACTTTTACCTGCCCGAGCATGGCTTCGTTGGGCGTCCCATCAAGAGCATCAGCAAGGGTGTGCCAGTGGTGAATGGCAAAGAAGGAAGGAGCACAAGCATCGTCAATAAAAACTTGGCATGGGAACAGAGTCATGCGGCCTTAGGCATATCGACCATGTTTTGACCCTGCCTTGAGATGGCAAGCCTCGATGATTCATGCAGAGCATGAAAAGCCTGGCAAGAAAAGCCACCGCGCTCGCGCGCGCTCTCTCTCTCTCTCTTTTCCTTGGCCCGTTCTGGGATACTGGGTGCGGATAGGTTCGAGTGGGGTTGAGTTGGGTTTGGACTGGTTTGGATGGGTTTGGACAGATTTGTACGGGGTTGAAGTTGAATGGTGTGGATGGCTTTGGATGGGGTTGCAATGGGTTGCATAGGTTTCACAGTATGCACGAGGAAGAACCAAAAGGATACAAAAAGGATCAACAAAAAACACAAAAATGTGCATGGAATTCAACACCGTGCTTTTTGGAATTGTGCCATCCAACGGCTCATTGGACCCTGAGATGTAGCAGTTGGTTCGGGTCCAGGTCGCCTCTGGGCATCGTCCTTGTGTTGGCCTGGTTTGTTTTCTTTCGCAGTTCGGTCCACCCAACTGCATGGAGTCCTGGAGGTGAGCCGACCCTCTTCGGTCAGTGACACCCGGATCCTGGAAGAATTTGGAGCATAGATGGGACCACAAGGCCAGCAAAGTCCTGGTAGACCTATATATACTGTAGTGGTTTCAGAGGTTCGATGGCACAGACCTCAAGATGTCCTGAAAACATGGGGGTTCATGTAAACCACCTCTTGGGGTCTGTGCCATCTACTCTCAATCCACTATACAGTAAAAAGTCATTCGGAAGTAAGAGATTCCAATCAAAGAGCAATTGACTTCCAAACCATGGTGCATTGTGCCATCTACAGCGTGCAAAAAACGGTGCAGTATGTTGCAAGCTTGCCCCTTTTTTTGACTTTGCGTTTTTGCTCCCCCTCCCTCATAGTTGCGCCATCTACAGGTTCCAAATGGCAATGACACACACACACAAAAACATATATATATATATATTAGAGATGGTGCATGCTGGAATATCTTTGCGGGAAGGTGGAAGAGGGGAGATGCTTGCATCACAAGGACGGCACCCACGCAACCAGTCCAACATCTTCTACCCTGCGACCAGGTCGACCCTCAGCACCAGTTCGACCTCGCGCGAGACCTTCGTCGCAGGTCTTCGATGGCTTGCCGCCCCCGTTGCGCTTCTCGCTGCACGAGCACCCGCAGTTAGCGTCCTGGGGCGGCCTCACGGCCCCCTGGTCCCTGAAGACCGCGCACGCACGCGGCGTTGGGTGGAGCGGCGAACCTGCCGAGCTGGGGGTGGACTTGTCCTGAGGTATGCCAGGCCGAAAGGAGGTTGGCTGGGACATCCCCTGGACTTTTTGGGGCGAAAGGAGTTGAATCCGTCGATTTTTGTGGTAGGAACGTTTGGAATCCACATGCAGGGCTTGGAAACAGCGGAAGGGAATGCTGCTTTTAGTGGATCAGCTGTGGCCAGCATGAATCGATTTTTGGCATCAGGGAGAGGGGGTTCACCACTTGGCCCCCCAAAAAGATCCAAAAAGGCTTGGCCCAAGCATGTCTGCCGTTTCCGGCGGTTCGGTTGGGGCCCCATGATGGAGCGATGGGTCCGCCGGGGGCCAAGCACTACAGCTGGCGTCCGTGGCTCTGGTCTCCCCGTCGACGACCTCAGACCCCCTTGGGAGGGAAGGTGACCTGAGTCCACCGACAGAACGATGTTCAAAAAGCCTGTTAAGATGGGCAACATGTGACAGAATGATCCGTGCCGACATCCTTTGGGGTTCAGAGATGAAAGGATTTACCGGTTCTCATGGTTTTTTAATACATCTTTTTGCACAGCAACACCGCCAAGTGAAGGCTTTCAGGATCGGTCGCTGGCCAGGTCTGGGGATGCTCCTTGAGCTACCAGGCGCGGACGTGTGGGGACGTGTGGGGCTGGAAAAGAGGCCAAGGTTTGAAGAGGTGTTTTTGCGGTTGTAACACTTCCTCGTAGTTACAGAAATGAAAAGAAGACAACTGGGACAAGTTCCATTTTGCATGTTCTTTTGTTTGGTGTGTGTGCACCCGTGTACGCGCTTCGTGAACCACTGTCACTCCACGGAAATGACGCAAGACAATCAAGCAGGAGGAGCTCTTTTGCCCGATTCTTCCGGAGATGGTCGAATCCGACCTTTCCTTTCGACTGGGAACAAGTCTCACCCTCTCCCAGTGGTCACGCACGCGACGGGATGGTGCGGGAGGGCGCGACGGGGCATGGATGGCAGGTGCGCATGCTCAAGCCATTGGGCTATCACTTGGTTTGGTACGGCGCAGGGAATGCCATCTACGTGCACCGCTCCGTGTCCACACGGCTAGGCCGCTGCGACGCAGAAGTGCATACAAGAAACAAAGGGGCTTTGGGCGTTCTGAACTAACTAGGCCAGGGCCAGAGGCAGTCAGGAGGGCTCATCCCTTATGTGCCACATTGGTCCTTAGGCCTTGGACCAGCTAGGGCTGCAAAGTTCCTCGATCTTAGCTATCGAGAGCAAGGTTGTCAAGCAAAAAGACAGGTAGCTCATCACGAGAACCCTCCTTTCAACAGGAAAAACCACCGCGCCCAGCGGCGCACCTTAGGCTCGCAGCGCCATCGGGCCGAGGCCTGCCACGCTTGGACGAGGTCGACTGCTATGTGACCTCCGTGGTCATGGCCATGTGGCCCAGCGGCCGGCGCATGCGCCGGTGGTTCTACGAGGTGCGATCGTGCGATCGCTGGTGGAGGCATATCGGGGTCACACATGTCAAAAGACCAGGAATCATTTGATCATCGTTCTGACTATTGCATTTCAAGATATTTCAAGGGTTTTGAATGGAGCGCGCCATGCCTGGCGTGTAGACCGGATGCCTGAGCCTGGCCAGTTGCAGCAGTTGCAACTTTGGCAACCAGCGCCCACATGGTTTCGGGTCTTCCTTGCCGGCTCACGTCCGGGAGTGGTCGAGGGAGTGGGTCGAGGGAGGTGTGCCTGGTATTGCCTCCGTAGGGGCCACATTCAATACCCCGCCGGCGTTTTCTGAGAGGTCTCCAATGGAATACCCTACGCTACTGTGGATCTCCATTGGGCACCCTTGTGGTCCAGGTAAGTGTTTGAGGGTCTGATAGGGCCTGGACCCTTCGGATAGAAACCCTATCCAAAGGAACTCCAGAACGAGCGGTAGACGTAACGGTCCATATGATTTGTAACCGTCGGTAGATCAGTAGGCATTAGGCATTGGTCACTATTTTTCAGAACGGCCTTTATGATCCATCTATATCATCATCATCATCATCATCATCATCATCATCATCATCATCATCATCATCATCATCATCCACTGTTTACAGGTACTAAGTACCAGGTCAGCCAGGGGCATGGGCATGCTTTTCTGCTTTTCTCGGGTTCGCTCCACCGAGAATCCCAGGACCCGCTGAACCAGTCCTTGGCCGAGGCGCGGGCCGCCGTGGCCAAGCACTTGCAGGGACGGCCATACACCCTGACGATCTGAGCACCGAAGTGCTGCGAGCGAAAGGTGAGACATGGGTGGCGAGCGGTTTGGGGGAGGAGACCTTCGGAGAAGGTGGCGGAGAAGGATGTCCGTGAGCTGGCGAGATTGCAGAAAAAAGGATGTTTCTGGCTGTTTCTGGCTGTTGAGGGGATCGGAGTCGACCATAAAGCTTCGAGGGGATGGGGTGGAAGGATGGGGTGGCGGTTGTTCTGTTGGTAAATTGGAATTTTGTAGGTTCAGATCATGGGAAACGCTGTATATGCCACGGTCCCCTCAGAAGTGCCTATTTTGTAATAGCCTCATGGTCCCTTAAAAAGCTAAGGGGTGTCCATGAACCATGACCCACCAGCGGTGGTTCAGACTCCGTTGATGCTTTTGCCGTCATCCTTTGCCTATTGGAAGATTTGTCATAAATACTCTCGGGTACCCCACAAAGCTGGACACCGCAAAGCTGACCTCCATGTCACCACTCCTTCATAGGGATCGTTTTCCATTTTCAGGTCTTGCTTCGACACCCTCGCCATAGACCAGGCATGCCATAGACGGTCAGTCAAAATGGGTCGCCACGGGTTGAGATTCACGCCACTTGGTCTCGTCCGCTGCTTGACATTGCTGCGATGCGCCGTAGGGGGACGCTTTCTGGAACACACAAGAGCATGAGAGCCAGACACAGGAACACAAAGCAAGGTGCCAGGTGTTGTTTGCGTGTTGTTTGCATTTTTTCGAGCAGAGTTGCCAGATGAGGGACCAAGCACGAAGATGGACCAAGCCAACAAGTATCCAGCCTTAGACATCATGAAGAAAGGCGACTTCTGGAAGGGTCAGGTGTGGGCTCCCGGATGATAGATCGAGCAATCTGGAAGGGGGTGGGGTGGAAGCCGAGTTGGTGCAGGAGGACGCACAAAATCAAAGAGTTGGGTTGGGTTTAGGAAAGGGGTGCCCGTGGCCATTCCATGGCCCCTCAAAGCTGCCGGCCCGTGGTGTGCACCCAAAGACCCCACATGGACCGGTCAACGAAAGTTGCTCACAGAGATTCGGACGGGATCCCTGTAACCCTGTTGGACTATGCGCCCTGGGATCCGCTGCTGTCTGTAGCTTGGCTGCCGGGTCCATTTCTTCGCGGTGCCTCCCCTGACGAAAAACAATTCCTGATGCCAATCTTGCGAGACATGTGCGAAGGCCAGACGCAGGAGTTTTCGGGGGGCTTCCGGTGGGTTTTTGGGGGGTGCCCCGGCGAAGTGGCCACTGGGCTATTGAGAACTTCCACTTGCAAGGAACGGTCGTCACCCCACCAGAAGTGTTTTTCGGCCCGAACCCGGGGGGCCACGAGGGGTGGGACCACTCGCATGGGCCGAACGACGGGAGTGATCCGAGTGCTGCAACAGGGGAAGTGGGCCTCCAACAAAGGCGCTGGCTCCGCGGTGCAGGGCAGGAAGGGTCGAAAGCTGGTTGGGTCAAATGGCACGGCAAAGATGGTCGGGGGCAGGAGGAGTGCCTTCTGGATTGTCCCATTGACCAGGTAGCACCATCCATGGAGATTCCCTTAGACAAGGGTTGTGATGACACAGCTGCCCAGTTCACACAGTCACCCACACCGAGGAGCTATCCTCCACCTGACCCAGCCAGAAATTCTGGACGATTTCCCATTTTGATCCATTTTGAAGACTAAGTGGTGACATGTGGTGACCATCTGTCTATGTACGTGTGATATATTTATCTATTTATAACTTATACCTAATACCTACAGGTGTGTGTGTGTGTGTGTGTGCCAACCTACTAGAACCCATACTAGTGAACCCAAACGCCCCCACGCCGAGATCCCACGCTCTCGATCGTTCTCGCTCTCCGGGAGCTTGGCTGGGTGACAGGTGAGAAAGGAAACTGGATCTCGCAGCCTGAAGAGCCACCCGGATGCGTCGATTCGATTCGACGTCCGACCAACGATTCGACGCTCCAGCCACCGGGCGTCCGCTCGCTGTCCGATGTCCGCGAAGCGAGCGAGTACGCGCGCGAGTGCACGACGGACGCGGAGTTCCGAAGCCGGGCTGGCGCGCGGATCGATGGCTCTTCCAAGGCAAGAACTGAAGCGGCCGAGAATCGACAAGGGCAAGGAAGGCTTCAAGGGGAAGGAGCTGCTGAAAAAGGGGAGGCCCGGAGGCCGATCGGCTCCAGTTCTTGATGGATCTGCAGAGTTTCTGCAGAGAACACTTCTGAACTATCAACAGCCCCCGTCCCGGCACTCGTTGCGACCGGCTCCGCACCTGACGCACGGACCCTGGACCGGGTGAGGCGACCCGCTGGTCTGTGGGAGGAAGCCGAGGGGGTTCGAGCCAGGCGAACGGGAGTGTAGACTTGTTGTTTTTATGTGTTTAAGACCCGTCATTTGCGCACCACGTGTTTACCCTTAAGGCTTATGGCCCATATGGCCTTTGAACGGCGCTTCGTGACCAGACATAGATCTCATGGATAGTAGACTCCAGGCTTCCGGTTTCCTGAAGAAAGGGAAGACACGCACATCATTCGGCATTCGGCACTGTTGGGAGGAGAAAGGCTGGCTAAGCAAGGGCGAAGCTCCCTTTGGCGAGGCGGGGCGTGGGGAAGAGGCTGCGTGGCTCCATGCAGCGCTGATGGGACCAGGTGATGCACGTGGAACGATCCCTTGTAAGGAGAAAAAGGGAGATGGAGCATTGCCTGGATCCATTTACCCAGACGCGACCCTGGACCCGAATCCTCTGGAGGGGTCGGGCCCGAATCGTCTAGAGGGGTCTCGGGTCGAACCAATCCATAGGCTTTGAGGAGCCAAGGGCTGTCTGGAGCGTCTGGGTAAGACCTAAACGACCAATTTGTTTGCCCCCAACTCTTACCTTATATCATGTTCCACCACAACATGATCCATGAGATATTGGTTCTTTTTCTTTTTTGGTGCGTTTGATATCGATTCATGGATACTTCATGACTTCCAGTCCACCTTCAGGAACATCGGAACGTCAAAAACATAGAATCCGGGGACATCTTCGATCAGTCGAGGGCCCCATGCTCGGTGGTGTAGGGCCCAAACCCGGAGGCACAAAGAACCGCAGACTGGACCAGTCAGGGTTTACCGTGGTGAGCGTATGAAGTGAGACCATCCAACATCGTCCATGTCGGACAGGTAAAGACCTGCCGTTCCATGTCGTTTTTTTCTTTTGCTTGTTTTGGGAGTCCCATCCAGTGAGTGGATGTGACAGGGGCACACACACATTTGGCTCCATTTGTTCGGCACCCGTTGGGTGCTGCTGGTGTACTTTTCTTCGGGTACAGACCCCCAAGTAGATAGACAAGTAAAAGCACCAAGATAAATGAATTGGACACCCGTGTTTATTTATTTGGGGGCGAGTTTATGTATACATATAGACACATATAATACATCATTACATGTTTGTTTAACTTTTGGGGCTGTTGCGTTTGACAAAAAAGGGTGGCGTCCTCGCACTCTGCCAGATGGAGCTCGGCCGAGGCGCCGGGCGGAGGGGGCGGAGCAGGGATGCTCTTGTGAGGTGCTGTTCTTGAGTTGATTGAGCAAGTAACTGTGAAACATGTTAAGGTGGTTTCAGGAAGTAGATGGCACAAATGCCCAGAATGTCGGTGGTTTATAGTAATGTATATATGAACCTCTATGTCGACATCTGGCACGGGGTGCCCGAGCCATATGTGCCACACCTTAAGAACTTCAGCTCCAACGGGTTCCCAGCCATGGGGCTGCCACGTTCCTCCTCACGGTGGGAGGGTTCATGGCATGGCTCCAGTTCCACGCCCATGGCCATGAAACCAATCCGAAGACCAAGTCGGTGGCCCTCTTCCACTTCCATGACGATGCGGAGTGCCACTGTTTGCATGGATCTGTGCTGAGAAACACCCAGAGTTGATGGGGAGCTGCATCACGGTTTTAGTTGGCAAGAAACGCATGCAACGCCTCGCAATGCAATACATGACTTGACAGATCCAAACTAATTATGTGTGCCAGTGCAAGAAGAACGGGCATTTTGCAACACTTCAGCAGGGAACCATCGGCATAGTTAAGCGCCTCAGCAGGAAACACTTCAGCAGAGAGATTCAGTCTACCTTGACATACCCAGCGTTTCTTCTAGTGGATCCCACTCTTAGTGCTACGACTCCTTTGCGGTTCCTTGCGGTTCCCGGGAGGTCTCGGGAAGGGTCCTTTGATGCCGGGACGCCCAGGGGCTGGGAGGGGCGTTGAGAGTGGAGAGTGAAAGGTAGGTGGGGTTAGAGGTCAAGCGATTTAGGGCAAGTACGACAATCAGATGACTGCTTGTGATCAACTTGCAGAGACGACTCCGACACGAATGTCTTGAAGGCATCATTCATCATTTCTTGGAGTTAAAGTGTTTGCTGCCTTTCTTTGGTGTTCCCCACGTTAACACACGCACACACATGGTGTTCACCATTTCGTTCAACTTCTGCTTGAATGCGTTGATTGACTTCCAGGAGTTCGAGTGAGCGTGCCCCGTCGTGCCCCAAAATCCACTTAGAGGGGGGTCAGAAAAGGGATGATGTGTTTTCTCCTCACCCCCCCTGGCACCTCTTTTCCAGGCCCAAGAGAGGTGGAACAGCCTTATAGCCCATCCCATATGTACCACTACAGGGTCTTATAAGGTCTCTCAACCTCTCTTGGGCTGTTTGGTTGACACCCCTGGTGTTCGCGTCTTGGCCGAACGGACCAACGGCTAGATGTCAGTCTAGGGCCCCGCCGCCGCTGGGCCCGCCGCTGGTGGGGCCACCGGCCACGGTGCCGGTGCCCCACCTTGGGCCGGGGCGGCTGAGAGATCGGGAGGGGAAGGTGTGGAGGGGGTGCTGGTGAAGTGGGGAGGGGTGATCTTCAACGAGCCGGACACGGGCTGGAACAAATCTGGGGTATCGTTGAAAACTGGGTCCATGTAGCAGTCCTTGGATAGGGATCTTGGGATTTCATCCTTGTCATCATCTTATCATTCTGTTCCAGGACATGCCGGATGCTGGACATCCCCCTTTGGAGGGTGGGAAGGGGGCCTGCACCACCCACCGGGTGACCGTGAAACCGCTCCTGGGCGCCCCGGGCGTTTTGTTGTGCGGTCCACGTCACCGGATGTTCTGGTGTTCGGTGGTTTTTGGGCGCAGGGGGTGCAAGAGAGAGAGAGAGAGAGCCTCAGAGTGTACCAAGAAGGATCCGAACTTGGCAAGGATCTTGAAACCGCTGCCGCTGTTCGGAGGGAGCGGTGGAGGCACTTGCTGGATAAAGAAGGATCCTAACAATCCGATCTTGGCTCTTCCCATGCCAGAATGACACATGAACACCTCAGACGATCGAGACCGACCTGGGGCCAAGGCCCTTGTCGCCTTGCTTACCCCTGCCGAAGGCGGAGGGTGTGGGAGGAGTCCATCGGAGGACGGAACTGGAAGACCAGTCCATGAGCGGACTGGCAAACCTAGACAAGTGAAGGGAACTGGCCCGGGTTCAGAATCTCATTATGGAGAAAGCAACTGGTTTGGTTGGGTTCAGAACTTGAGTTGTGCCAGGTTCAGAAACTGTTCAGAAACTAGATTCAATTCGTTGGTCGGATTCAGCATGTTGTTTTTTAATGTTGGATGCTGATTAGTAAATGGGCCCTCTATAATGCTAAATTTTTCCAAAATTATTCCAGACCCCATGTTTGAAAAATGGTTCCTGAATAATGCTAACTTTTTTTGGAGGCCTAAATTTTCAATTTGGAAACCCAATTAATAAGGGTTTGAATTCCTTCTGAGGCCAATGATTATGATTCATTAGCTGATATAGCTTTCTCTAGGTTTCTTCAAAACTGACAGCTGACCAAAACCACCAATTCCCCAATTAAACCCTTTATAAAACATTGCTCCTAAACAAATTTTCAAGGTAGTAGAC